GTGATTTGGGAGCAAGTATGGGGATAATATGGCGCCATCTCGGGAAATTCGGAACTTGAGAATTTGTTTCAAAGTATGGCCATCAAATAACCGCCAAAACAGTTTTAAACCATGGGATGGAACATGGTACCATATGGTACTTATTTCTGGGCCACGTTTCTTCAGGAAACTGTGGTTCGCCCAGAGGTGACAAAACTGCCACATTCATTAAGACCGCTTGGAACTGCCAGAAATATCAGAAAACTGAAGATCACCAAAAAACTGACACCAAAAGACTCAGGTTCTTGTTTTTTGTATGTTTTTGTCTCATTTTTGGGGATCATGTTCCGCTTTTTGGAACCCATTGGAAACCTCCAAAGCTGGAGGATTAGCCGCCACAGGACCTTTGGTGTCGCGCGCCACCCCCAGCCCCTACGGCAGCGCCGCCAAAACGCTGGGAACCGTTCCTCTCACAGCTTCGGAATGTGGTTCGGCTCAGCGAAGAACAAACACAGATGGTGATTTAATTGGGATTTCACCAAAAAAAAAGGGGAGTTGACTGAATTGACCATCGAACATGTAGATTTCACCAAACAAATGCATTTAACCATCCAAAATGGGAATTTCACCAACAAAAACGGGGATTTAACATGATTGAACCATCAGAAATCGGCAGGAATCTCAGGAATGCGGATACATGTGGGATATGATGGGGACATAAACATAATGGATAAATGATGAGCAGCGACTGCACGGTGCGACCTTGTTGATCCAGATGGGTGAATGGAAAGCGTAACAAACGTGAGGAGTTCACACAACAAGACAGGCAGTTTATGTTGGTTTATGTCATAGATTGCTAGGTTGACTATTTGACTTTATTTTTGAGTTTATCCCTTTCGATGGAATGGTGATCTTAGCTGTAATTCATACCATTCAGGGGTTTGACCCCAGTAACAATAGATCGAATAGATCGTTAAGATTCACCACAATACACGTGGTCGTTGGTGGTTAATAAGACCTTAATCATTGCATAAAACCCTTCTTATAATCAGTATTATTGTTTATCATCATTTTGTGACTGATTGGTGCTTTGGAACATGTTTTTTTTTGATTATTTTTCCACCAAAAAATGGGAAGAAAATCATCCCTGACTTTCTATGTTTCAGGTCATGGCAGGTCAACCACCCACCAGATGATGATGGCATCCCATTAGATCCCCAGATCAGTCGCTGGACCATGGCAGGCCACGCATGGAGCCTCTGAACGCTTCCGCTTGTGGTGGTCTGGGCGTGTTCAGCAGAAGGAGCACATGTCATTGATCCAGGCGCCCGAGATATGATATGTGGATATATATATATTATATATATTATATATATATTATATATATATGGATATGTGGTATATCATGATATATTTGGAGGTTTCCTAAGTCATGGGGGTACCCCAGTCATCATCCAGTCGTCATGGTCATCCATGACGACTCGTATTGAAACTGATCGTGTTTGGGGATTCCCCATGACTTAAGAAACCCCCAAAAAAGGGTGTGTCGGTGTGTCTGAAAACAGGGTATACCCCTCAAATGGTTATTTGAATAGGGAAAATGATGATAATCCAATGGACGGAATGGGGTGCACAAGAATTCCAGACAAACCTATAGTGGATATATGATATCTGCGATACCATATGGGATAGTGTATGTGCAATAGTATATAATATAGAGATATTAAAATCATAGTGATAGTAATTATACACATGAATGGGATATGTATGGGTTATTCCGGTTTATATGTACGATGTAAATTGACAGCCCGCTATGCACGGTTACATATCTATGTCTAGTCTCTATGTACAATGTGGTTTTTATGCAATATATATATATATAGGAACTATGTATATATGATATGGCTTGTTGTACCGTTGTAAATCACGAAATTGGGGGATGTAGCACAAAACTTGCTGGATTTGCGCCATGTACAGTATGGGTGGGGTTTCTCCGGCGTTTTTTCGGGGATGGGGTCAACATGTAGGAATCTTATTGTTGGTCTTTCACCAGTATCCTAAGCAGGCTGGATATTCTGGATACCCTCTGGTAAACATACAAAAAACTATGGAAAATCACCATTAATGGGAAAATCCACTATTTCTATGGCCATGTTCAATAGCTATGGAACAAATCACCAGAGGGTAATATTATTCACCTTGTCAATTACACTCTTTCAATAGTACAGTGTAATTGTTGGTGATTTTCATTTTCTCGTGTTTGTCGCTGATGAAAAATAGTATAACTGGGTGAAGCTGACGGTTTCCCGTTATACCGCGTGAATGATTCGATTTATCAATGGTTGGGTTTCATGGCGGCTGGTGAATGACTCGTTTTTTTCAATGGTTGATCTCAGATTGCTAGTGATACCCTCTGGTAATTTAACATAGCTATTGAAAATTGCCATTTATAGTGAGTTTTCCCATTAAAAATGGTGATTTTCCATAGCTATGTTAGTTTACCAGAGGGTATGTCCATTGACGTGATATAGTCACCTCATTAGTTCTGAACTTTTGGGGTCGACCTGGAGAGCTGCTGGGCGGCGATGGGAATTGCCCTTGTAAACAGCACCTGCTGTTTACCGAGGAAGGATCGCCTGGCAGATGTCAGGGATTGGTTTCAGGGATGATTTACCGGGAACCATGATCTTTACCATCTTACCATTCAACCTAGGGTTTTCCTGTAGATCTTCCCTTGAACTAGTTCGATGACAAGAATACAAGATCCCCAGTTGTGGTGTATGAACTTGGGAATACATGGATTAAAACAGGATAATTGAGACGACATAACCCCTGGCTACTGTTTCCTGTAGACTTTCCGGTGATCCAATTCTATCATCACAGCCATCATTGGCACGGTGTACCAACAGCTCTGTTCATGATCAACCTCCATTTAGATCCCATTAAAATGGTTGTTTTCTCAACTCCCCATGTATCAGTTGATATTTGTGGTTGTACACCATTTATATACCATGTATATACCATTTATATACCCATCATATCCCAATTTTTGATGGTCAAATTCCCATAGTCAGGTGGTCCCTGGCTCCCACCTTCTGGTGGCCGCAGACTTTGCCCAACGGCGCAAGCACGAGCTGCTGAGTGCAGCCAAGCGCACGTTGGAGTTCTTTTGAAACTTGGATATGGTGGGATATGGTGGGATGATGCTGCTGGGCTAAATTTTGTATGATTTTGTGATTTTGTCATGAGATATATAAAGATAATATGGAATGATATGGAGATATATGGAGATATATGGAATGATATGGAATGGTATGGAATGATATGGAATGATATGGAATGATATGGAAGTGAAAAAAGAATACCCATGCATTTTAAGGGGGAAAGAATATACTATGGATATATCTTGGGGATTTCAGAAGGAGGTTGGGATGTAAGCAACAAAATGATGTTTTGGGATATACTGTAATAGGGATATAACCGTCAATTTGTAATATCAACCATGGTTTGTTATACTGTAATGTTATAACATGTTTTTTCCATGATATACCATGATATAACAGGGGTTTTTCATGGGATGTAATATCAAGCATCTATCCAATGGTGGAGGGAGCGCTTCGGAGCGCTTCGGCAAGCACCATGGCTTCCGCCTCATGGGGATACTATGGGATACCATGGAGGATCAACCGGTGATAGTTTCAGGAACGGGAGATGTTCCATTTCCACTCAGGCATTACTGGAGTGTACTATACACCAGGTTTCAGCCTTACCAGATGTGGTATGGGGCTAAATGAAAGGGCGCATATTTCATATAGAAGCCTGGAAATGAAATTGCATTGAATTTGCTATGATTGCCATGTCCACAAGAAGCTTCATGCACAGGCATTCCCAAAGGAATTCCACAGAAAGCTCATATGAATCTTCTGCAAGAAATCAAACTAACATATTCCACTATATTCTAAGATCGATATGTGCCACGGTCAAAACATGGCTGACTTTCCCACATAAGGGGATGGTTGTGTACTCTCCGACAGGCATGATTTTTTCCAGGAAAAGCCTTGGGAATCCCTGAATTATCATGAAATTGAATTATCAATCCATTTTCGAATGGTCATCAATCCATTCTCCTAGGGATTCACATACCCATTATAAGGATTTATAAGAACTCTCTAATGATGGTGGGATGACCAGGGGCCCCATTACAACATATATTGTAATCATTGTAATGATTATAATACTTGTATGGCACTACAGTAACAATAACAGAAGAATGATTCCAACGATTATGACATATATCATAGATTATCATAGTATGGGTACCATAATAGTCACTATAATAATGGGCACCATATGTTATATATATATAACTATGTTATAACATAGTAACTATTATATAATGGGTACCATAATAGTACCATTATAACATCTGAAAAAAATCCCACATCACGGACGCGGTTCGAGGCGACGACGCCTGCGGCTTCGTAGAGCCCCAAAAGCTGCGGATCGTGACGTGACCGATGGAGCACGAAAAGACGTGGTGTCGGCGACGCGGCGTCGGGGTCTTCATCAACAGTTTTTATATGGCAGTGTGTCAAAACCAATAGTACCCCTGTAGTTCACATCAAAATAGCTGGGTTAAAATGGATGTGAATAATTCAATAACCCCCTAAAATTTGTATTAATAGGTATTGACCCATACCCATATATCTGAGTGTTTCATGAAATGTCTACATCTGACAGGTCAAACTTTGGTGAAACTTTGGGAGTTTGAGAAGGGAAATCAGGGAAGCAGCCAGGCAATGCTGTCGCATCCCCAAGATGGGATGCTGTGGCCAGGCCTAGTCCTAGACCCGTCTCCAGGCGCGTTCCAGGCCTAGTCCCAGAGCGAAATATATACAATCATAATAATGATAACCAGAAGAATGATACAAATTATACCACAGTCCACAGTCCAGAGCGAAATTGATTCCGGATGATGACTGATACCCCCTCACAAAAAGCAACAAAAGCGACTTCCGGACCTCGTTTGTCACGCGACCATGGCATCCGTGGCAGACAAGGGCACAAAGGCGCTACAGCATCACCGAGGGATCATCCATGGTCTGTGGGAATTGGTATACCCACCATGTCATATTTTTGGGTTTCTATAAATGAGGTAATTACCCCATATCTTTTTTCAAAATGGATATAGTTCATATTGGACAAATGTCATTTTTTAATGGATGATTTTGGGTTTTTTCTCCCCAAAACTACTGGGGGTTGGAACAAGACTTTCCTCTTGAGCTGAGGATCGGTGATGATTCACCGGCCCCATGGACCGAAAAAATTGGGAAGCCTGATCTGAAAAGGTACAATGAAGAGATAGGTAACGAATTAGCCCTCATATCCTGATGTATAAATCATATTATATTATACATATATATATAATAATATATTGTACATATACATAAATATAGTCTTATAGTCATATGTAATGATATAATATATAACAGGTGCATAGGTGCATAGAATTGTGCTGGGCATCTAAGATTGGCCACGTTGTTGAAGCCTTCGACTTTGGCTGCTCGCCGAGCCCTGACCATACCTCAATGGTCATTTCAGGATCCTAAATTGGAGGTCCGTTAGTACCATATAAGGCCATATTTTGTGGGGATATTCACTTACATAGGCCTAAAAAATAGGCCTTACATAGGCCTTATATATGCTAGGTACCTCCAATCTAGGATCCTGAAATGGCCATTGAATACCTGCATGACTCCGTGGTTGGGCATAGCCTTCATGCAACATATCTTGATGATCGTCTTGGTTAATTACTTTGATTTATTTTTTGTTGTATAGCTACTTTTGTATATTATATGTATATACATCTAGCTACTTATGTTTTTACTATTTGGTTGACCAGTTCTTCTTTGTAGAAAAGAAAGGAACATGATTTGCTTCTTCAGTGAAGCAACCGGTGGAAAGCACTCATCGTGCAGAACCGAGATACCCTTGCTGCCCGCAAAATGTAACCACGAAAAAGATGGAACAGTATTGTATCACCACTATTTTAGTAGGATGTGATATATGTGTCTGCTTTTTTGGGGTGTTACCGGGGTTACTAAAAGTTTCAAACATCAATTTATATTAGCAATGAAACGGTTCCGTCGTTCCCCCTTTGTGAAGCCCAGGCGGATGCTGCTGTGGGGGCGCCCAAGGCTAGTAAGCCGTAAGCCCAAAAATTCATAGCAAAAAGGCTACCTGGAAAATCATGAGCTAAGTATTCATCTATCTATAACCGATTATCATATATCACTATAACCTTTCGTGTTTGTTTCTGGATTCTCTGGTGCTGTTGCATTTTTCCAGGTGATGTATCCATAGCCATCCACGGGGGTAATCCACTGGGAAAACTGCTGGAAACTGCTGGGATGAATTCTGGGAACACAGAGATGAAACAGGGCTGTTACGGCTGTGACCATTTCTGGCCTTCGGGCCATCAGTGTCAAATTGAAACCATCCACACCAATCAGGTCATGAATGATCATGTACTCCCAACTCATTTGAACATTTTGGACCAATTGAAGCTTATTTTTTTAGGTTCGAAAGCGACAGTCATCGCCAGCAAGTCGAAAAGGCCCGGTTGCTGGGAGGGTCGGTGATTTTGGATCCACCTTGTGATATGTTTTGACGGGATATGGAATGCACCTGAGATGTTATGAGCATACCCTCGTCAGAAACTCCGCTGGAATGCAAAAAAAATGGTGTAGTTTAGAAGATGATTTTTATTGATGTTCTTTTTCGGACGAGCCAAAAATGAAGGGGGGACCATGTTAGTTTTAACCAGTGCCAAGTGCCAAGTTATTGGAATGACCAACGGAGCCCCAAGACAACGATCAATACCGATGGGTAAGTTGGGTTCAGGGTGTCTCCAACAATTGCGAACCCATTACAATCCGACAAGGGTTACTTACCTAATGGGGCCTCTGCCTCAGCTGACAGAACCCTGGGTCAAAACTGGGTTCTTAATTGGATCTCTTAGTAAAGAAAGCCTCGAAATGGCCAAAGAATTTTGGCTTTTATTGGCATATCCTCTGGTAAACTAACATAGCCACGGAAAATCACCATGCTAATAGCAAAGTCAACTAGAAATGGGTCATTTTCAATAGCTATGTTACATACGCCTACAATACCGAACACGTGCCTGCCAGATGTCTCCGGCTCACCCGCCGAAGCAAAGTCCTTGGCGGCAAGTGTCTTGGCAGGTCTTGGTAGCCTGGAGTCGCTGGTGATGTGATGTGGTTCTGGGTCATTTTTCCATTCAAAACCCCTGGTGGAAAAAAAAAAACGGTGGATGTTTATTCCCCCAGGCAGATGGTGAATGTTATTTTGACCCATCCCCATGTGTTTGGTGTATCAAGGAATGTGACGATTGCCGATAGGTCATGTGACTTCATGTGATTTTTATTTACCGTATAAGACATCAAAACAGCCTTGATATACATGTATACCAGATGATACTACACAAACCAATAGAAAGTTCCGGTGGGTGACAACGTGAGACGTGCCTTCCTGGCAACAACATGAAGACAGTTTAGGTGGACATTTGTGCCACGGATAGGAACCACTGGGATGGGAACCATTTGAATGATACATTGCATAAGTATTCTAGATATATCTAGATATTCTAGTTTTCACGAGCACTTTCATATCCAGGATCCTGCAAAAACAAAGACTCGACACGTAGGAGCATATTCGTGAATCATGAGTTTTTACTTTTCTGCTTGTCCAAGCAGATGTTTCCAAGACTTGGTTTTTCGCGTGTCCCTTGAAAAAGGCACCAAAAAGGAGGCTCCAAAGAGATCTATGTTGGATGTGGTCGAAGGTGCGATGCTGCTGGATGCCGGCAGCTGCCCCAATAAATTTTTGGAGGATGTCAAATCTGGGTAAATTCTAGTGACCTCACTGGAATCATGGTTCGGATTCGGGCAATCATCCCCATTGTGGACCTTATTTCAGGTTGTTGAAACATTATAGTTTACCCAAATAATCCCAGATAGAAACCTTTTGGCTGCCAACGTTGCAGGTTGTGACAACAGAAATCAACACTGTTGATTGCATATGCGACGTGCCACGATCAAAGTTGGATTGTAAACCTGTATTGCAGGACGGTCATCAATCCACGAATAGGGATTTCCAGTAGTACCGCACAAGGCAGTGGCGGAAGTTTCAAGGATAGCGCACTATAGGAGAGGTGAGATGTTGTGATGCATGGGTGGCAGAGCGAATCCACTGATGAACCGAAAAGTGGTTGGAGTTGTGCTTTTTGGAGTGGTTGCAATGGTTGCAGCGGTCACCTCACTCACAACTCCTGGATGTAGTGTCGTGTAGCGCAGTAGTTGTAGTTGTAGTTGTAGCTGTAGTTGTAGTTGTAGTGGTGTTGATGTTGTTGAAGTTGTTCAAGTTGTAATGTTGTAGTCGTGGTTGTAGTTGTTGTTGCAGTCGTAGTTGTAGTGCGCTTGAAGTTGTAATTATCTCAATTGTAGTAATTGTAGTAATGTTGTGTAGGTGTAGTTGTAGTTGTAGTGTAGTGGAGTTGTAGTTGTAAGTTGTAGTTGTAATGTAGTGTACTTAGTGTAATTAGTGTAGTATAGTTGCAGTTGCAGTTGTTGTTGTGGTGTGGTGTAATTAGTGTAGTGTACTGTAGTGTACTGTAGTGTACTGTAGTGTACTGTAGTGTACTGTAGTGTACTGTAGTGTACTGTAGTGTACTGTAGTGCTGTGTACTGTAGCGTGGTATAGTGTAGTGTGGTCTAGTGTATTGTAGTGTAAACTAGTGTACTTATGGCTGTAGTGTAGTGTCGTGTAGTGCAATGTAGTGGTAGTTGCAGTTGTAGTGTAATGTAATATAATTAGTGTAGTGTAGTGTAGTGTTGTGTAATGTAGTGTAGTTCTAGTTGCATTTGTGATGTATTGTTATGTGATGTCAAGTCGCACTCCACCCTTCATCAATGTCAAGTCTGACAATTCTATTTGTCCGTAACACGAAAGTATTGCTTCCCAACTTCCTTTGAAAATCACCAAGTAATATCAAATAATCAAATGTTCAATCCTCTGGAAGTGGTACTGATGACAATGAAATTAAGATTCCCATCACCAAGAAAAGAACAATCTCCTATATAATATTAAGCACCCCATTCTATGGCCCCCCCACAGAATTGTAAATCCTCTATTGAACCATGGAATTAATTTGGTATATCCCCACAAATCAAACAAAATGAAATCACCAGATTAAGCTCCATGTTTGAAAGTGAAGTTTTTTGTTGATGTTCAAATCCCAAGAAAATCAGAAAAATCTGTTTGAAATCCCAAATATGTGCAAATCCTTTATATTATTAAACCATGGTTTTTCCCAATGGCTTTCCCCAGTGAAACCCCTTGAAATCACCGCGAGCTGCGCCAGGTTTTCCCCCGCAACTCTGTGCGCTCGCCTTGGGTTCTGCGGGCCTCGCCCGGGCCTGGGTCCTGGGTGGTGCCGCCCCCGCCCTGCCGCAGCTGTGGTGCCTGGTGAGCCATGGAGGGATGGGGGACATGGGGAGGATGGGGGCGGAGATCAGGAGAGGAGATCAAACACAGTAGATAAAGACCGTACTATATTGAACATATGATTATGTATCTATATATATATATATATGTACATATGTACATAACTATATACATATTTGTATAATAGTATATTTTTCAAGTGATGTGAGGATGATTGGTCATGTACCAAGAAGTAGTTGAACAGCCAGTTGAATGGATATTGGTATTAGCTGGGGGCATTTTGTGAACATTATCTAAGCTTGAACAAGTGTGAAACAAATTTGCTGATGTTGAGTGGTTCGGACCTTGGAGTGCTCTTAAAAAATGGGACAAAGAAATGACCAAAAGATGGGACTGATTGAAGAAGTTCTATAGAGTGTAGTGTACTACTACTAGGGCATTGGATTCCTGACTTCCGTGACCAATTCATTTTCGCACCTCAACTAGGGGCCACATGGGGCCACAGCGAGATGAATCATTCATGCCAAGCAAAATGCTGGTCAACTGACGGGTAGAGGAGGTGATGCGGCGATGCGTTGGGGTGAGCTGAACATAAAGAGAACGGGAAAGTTGAACTGGAGATATACATTTCGTATCTGTATGTCTCTAGATAAGCAATGGCAACTTTCATAGTACTATAGGAGATACTTAAATGATCCCTGAAATATGTATGCATAATTATGCATACATGATACGTATATATTATAATAATCATGAAAATATGCGTAGATAGAGCGTGGATATTTTGGGTTTGATCCCAAAATATCCAAGGGGCATCCAAAACAGGGATCATCCCAACCTGGCGAAGGGGCGTTATTTTGGACCAGGTCGCTGCCGGTTTTCTGGCCATTTATGGCATGAAAGTGGTACCTCGGAAGCTGGTTTTGGCAACTTTTGGACACGCGGAATCCACGAAAGATGGGGTATTTAGGTACCCCTAGTTATCATCCAGCTATTTGGTTTGGGATTGTCCATAAACCATCCAGCTATTGGGGGTACCCCCATTTATGGAAACCCCCATATATACAACTGGGAAGTTTGAAAGAGATCTTGGTCGCATTCCCCCGTGTTTGTTGGCTCTACATCAACTCTATCCTCTTTTTGTTTTTCCCAGTAGCAGTGGTTATCAAAAAAACATATCCATCCATCTTTGTTCATCACCATGTGTGTGTGACACTTTTCTGCACCGATGCAGGAAAAATAACTCCAACATTCGTCTCTTTTTTATGAGACTGAGGAGCTGAAGATGACCAGTCACTAATTATGCGTTCTTTCCAGGGACTGAAAGTTTTAATCCCATACCCAGATTTGTGCGTTGTCAGCATTGTATTCCTTTTATATCCCTTCTTCAATGTCACTATGATCGATGATTGTTTTTTGTTCACTTACACCGTACACCCATCAAAATAATCAAATTATTGAAGTGCATCCACATTTTACCCCGTCAAATTGCTTTGAAGATCCGTCATTGGTCAACATCCTCATGTTCGTTGCATGCAATTAAGTCCCCTTGTTGGATTGTAAACATCCTCCCTTGTTTTTGTTTTATGTTTACGAAAACCAATATTACTGGTTTGTTGGCTGCGAAAACTTTATTTGTGTGTTCGTTGAAGTCGGCTAAAATCCGTGATTCATTTGGTTAGCACCTGCGTGCGTTGTTTTTGTGATTAACCGTGATTGGGTTTTTTCTTTACCAAGCAACAGTAAACCATTCTTTGGGTGGTATAAACATATATAAAACCATCAAAATATGGGTGGTTGATGATTGCTCTACTAACATTAAAAACTCAAATTTGTCGTTTAACTAGTGAGTTCCCAGTAACATTGACTCATTTACCACACCCGGTCGCAAGGCCTTGCGCTGGCACGCCTTCCTTCGCGATGCCAGCGAGCCACCCACGCTGGCGGCGTTGAGTGGGGCGCCGGCGGCGATTCAGGCAGATGGGCTTCAAATGGAAGATGACACCTCTCCAAAAATGTGTGTTTTAGCATCAAGAATCAGTATTGAAGCATCAAGAAGTGGGATTTGATATGATTTCATCGGGGTTTCACCATCAAGATGGTGTTCTAGCATTTTACATGTTACCATCAAAACCAAAACTAGGGTTTTAGCCATCAGCTAGGATTTCAGACTTAAAAATTGCGGGAATGGCTCAAAATTAAAAGCCTGGGGATCGCAGATTCGGGGTGCCCTTTTAGATAACCAATTTTAAACCATACCCTACCCAGATCATGTCTGATGATCAACCCGTTGAAATGATGAGAACTTGTAACCCATGTTCAATAATACGCTTGGAGGACGCACGCTGCTGGCAGGTCCTGGTTGTGCGGCTGAGGCACCAGATGATCTTGGACCTGCTGACCACGCAGCGGCTTGGAAGGACCCAGGGGGGTGCTCTTCAGATTGAGCAGTTTCACAAACGCCAGGTGGTTGCTGATTGTAGGGGTTATTATTATCATTTATATTGTCTATAATTATGTACATATATGATACATATATATATATATAATTATATATATATGGTACTGTATATATATATGATACACTAAATGTACATAACCCTGTGAGTCCAGGACCCTAACTTTTGAGGTCCTCGGAATTGCTTGGGCTCAGGACCCTAAAAGGTACACCCTCGGCAATGGCTAAAACATGTACCTTTTGAGGTCCCGGACCTGAAAAGGAACGATCTATGAGACATAGCTTTTGGCTGGATGAGGATGGATCCCAACGGCCAACTGATCATGATTGACACATATCCCAGGCTATTCCATGGGGCCACATGATTCCCTGCCAGTCCTTTTGATTTTGGATCATAGATGTGATCATAGTCTCAAATGTGATCGCCAGAATAAATTTTAATCCACAACGATGTGATCCAAATCACACATGGCCCAGCAATGAATGAAGAAAGCCCGCAATCGGCGAACACTGCGTGATTTCGAAGACCAGCTGGCTTCTGACTTGTTTGGCCCCTATGGAGGTACAGCCGGCATGGCTTGGGTGCCTGAAATTTCTTTGCAGTCATTACCCATGGCCATAACATCTTTTCTACATGATTGTAAGTCATGGCGGCTATGGCCAATACAGAATGGGGATGACCAGTTTGCATCAGCGCGGTCTCCCTGCCAATGACACACAACCTTTATCCTGCAGCTGCCCCTTTTCATACTCAAATAGCTCTCTCAGCTGCTTCGATGCAATGCCACGCGCAAAGCCTGATGACTTTTTAGCTGGCAAGTTGAAGGATTGGTTGGGTAAAGGATTGGGGGGAGCAAAAGAGTGGCCATGGGAACCAACCAGAACCCAAGTCAGCTTGAACTGGTCCACTGATCCATTCCCCTTTGCGGAAAAAGAGTGGTCAGGAGTTCTACGATGAGTACTTGGTGGAAAATAACTACAAGGTCCAAAGATTCCATGCCATTGCCAGGGACAAGGGGGTTCCTGCCAACTTGGTTTCGCAAGCCCTCGAGAGAAAGAAGGCGTGTTTGGTTTCGAACAAGTCACCATTTACAGGAAATTCCAACAATGATTGCCTTCATTTATAATTGGCCTACTCCTGTTCGTTGTTCACCCTGCAGCCCCAAATTAAATCTGGTCTTTGGCACCTTGGGAAAAAGCCTTGCTTCTTGCAGGCTCCGCTCGTCTTTTCCTTTGTGAGTCTGCGGTCCGCTGGGACAAACTATACTTCGGATGATGTCTGGGGGCCCAGGCACTCACAGCCCCAGCAGGCTAGTTGATCATGTAAAGGAGCTAGTAAGGTTATGGTTTCATATGTCCTTGAATACGTTTTAGCACCCTCTGGAAAAATTTATTGCCCATGATAATGAAAGCCTTTTGTGGGGAAGCACTTAGCCCAAGAGGATATTGCATATCTGCTAGTGTCTGGCCACAGGTCCGGGACAAGAACAACTATGACTTTCTCACAAAGCTCCTGATCAAGATCGGGGCTCGTGTCCCTGCAAGTGGAGATACGGAAGCTGCTTTGGTGCATGTTGCCAAAAAGCATAGTCTGCTGGGAGATGATATCACCGCTGCGACTTTGCAGGTTTGGGGGAATGATCTTGCATTGTACATGCGGGGGTTTCCATAAATGGGGTTCCCCCAAAACGGATGGTTCATAAGGGAAAATTCCATTGAAATGGATGATTTGGGGGTACCCCCATTTATGCAAACACCCATGTTTTGGTATGTCAAGATTTTATATTAAGTACGGTCTCTTATGATTTCGTTTGTTGGGTCTCTGCAAGTCTTCGCATGCATTTATTGATCTGGGGTTGCCTGCCAGGCTTGGGCAGAGACTGAAGCCAACCTGCAAAGAGGCCTTGTGCAGTTTGCCATCCGCCGATCTACCCGAAACGACCGGTCCAGGACTATACGTGTGGGCTGGCTGTTCATGTATACGTATGCACTGTGATGATGATTGGTGCTCAGAACTGAACCACTTCTCCAGGTCGCAAAAATTTGAAAATTAAAGTTGATCATTGAATCAATGATCGAATGTTATCTCGCGATTCTTAAGCACACCTGGGCGGCACTTGTCACACCAAGTCACCCAAGCCAGGAGTGGCGATGAGATGATGAGCAACATCAAGGCCTTGGTGAAGGCTTTGCTTGCAGAACTGCCCCAAGGGTTGCGCCGGCAGCCATCGTCAAAGTCTTCAAAAGGCTCAAGTCCGAAGAGTACCAAGCCAGTCCCAAGTGTAAGCAAGGAAGATTTGCTGTATAGCAAGACTCTGATGCTGGGAGAGACTTGTAACTTGTCTGTCTATCAGAAATTGTGGTGAAAACAGTCGTTGGCTGGAAAACGGACAACAAATTAGACCACCCCAAGTAAGAGTGATGGTGATAGCCAAATTTGATTCCACCACTGGTCCCCCGTCCATGGCCGAGGCACTGAGCAGGAGTCTGAAGGCGGAGAACACGCAGAGGAAGAATCTGCCACGGATGATGAGATGGTCAGTGTTTGGGCTGTTTAACATGAGACTGCTATTTTGTGGATCGGTGGGCCGCAGTGCCTCAATGGCAACTTCCTTCAAAAAAAACATGTTCAGCTATAGGTTTGAGCTCATCATAGCATGGTGGTGAGGAATGGTTGTATTTGATTGGGGAAGTGTTGGAATATTAATTCTTGATTTAGTCAATGACCCATAGGGGAGTTGCTGATCATTTTTGAGAATTCATGTCGATTCGATATATCACTAGTTACTGGTATTGATACACTTCCAGGCAGCTGCCCAAAGCATTTACATCCTTGGAGGGGTAAGCACATGTCTCTGTTCAACAATCCGAATCTCCCATCTTTTTTTTTAGAAAATGTTGTTTCGGCCAAGAATTTTCAAAATCGAGGTCCTGGTGAAGCTGCCCCTGCCCATGGAGAATCGCATTTGCATCCACTGGACGAGGTGAAACCCAAGGACCACTCTGAGTTGGGACGGATTTTGGAATTGTCCGTTTTGCAAACACTATGGAAAATTAATTTTCATGACATAGTACCATGTAATCTCATTCCTCATGGGGCTTTTGGATGTCCAAATTGCCACACATGCCAGGGCCTCCTTGTAACAATCGTTTGCTCCATACTGCAAACAGCCAGCCGCAGGAGAAACCATTTCCAGTCAGGTCTGTTCCAGAGACCTTGGAGAAAGCCGCTGATGATTCATTTGCGGAACTTTCCAAACAAGGGCTCAAAGATCGAGATCTAATGAAGGCTACCAGTCAAGGATATATTCCAGGTGTCGGGTTTTTGTATTATAGATTTCAAGATATACTCGTGGCAGGAATGACACAGAAACGTCTGGGCTTTTGACTTTCTAGGACATCAATCGATCATATTTCAAATTGCGCATTATTGCCTTATCGATTATCGACCCTTTCAAAGTTCAGATACATTATAGCATGTTGGCTGATCATGTGTCATGTTCAGGCCCAGCTGCAGCTGCGCAAAGCGTCCGAATCTTTCCTGCCGGCAGAGGGCCCCGCACCGTCGGATGTTGTTGCTCGAGGTAGGGGCAGAGGAAAAGGCAGAGGGAGGGGCCGGGCAGCAAAGAAATCTAGGAAGTCCAATGAAGAAGGAGAGGAATCTGAAAACAGTGAAAAGGACCTAGCAGAAGAAGATGAGCAGATAGAGAATGAGCTGGCAGTCGAAGATGATGAAGGCAAGACCCCCAAGAAGAAAAAGACCAAAGAACCAAAGACCCCGAAAGGCGAAGGCAAGACCCGAAGGAAGAAAAAAAATACCCCAAAGAAGAGAGCCACCCCGAAGTTGAAGAGAGCAGTGGCTGCAGCCAGAGATGGAACCCTAGTTCTTCGATTGCATATAGCCATCACCCTTGTTAAGTCTCAAATGAAAACTGGTTTCGAAATTCTTCTATTTCTTGTTTAAACGTCCATAGATGTGTTTGTAGCTGGCCTAGCGTACCAATTGCAAGGTGGAAGATGTTCTGAAGGAACACGCTGAGGTTCGACCACGGTCCGTCATCAACATCATTTTCTTGTGGTGATGAATTAGGTTTAATCAAAGTGGAGTTCCCTGAGTCAAAATCATTCGATAGCAGCAAGTTGCCAGGTCGTGGCAAACTTCCGGAAGGAATGCGAAGAGATTGAGGATCAGCGGTTCAGTGTTCCCAAAGATCTCAGCAAGATCAAGTTTCTAGCTGAGTACCACTGGCATATGTTGGCACGCTTGCAAGTATGTGGTGTGAATTGGTGTGATATAGCATGCAAACCACCAGTTAAATATTTGTAAAACAGGTCTTTCACACTTCCATGCCTGACGCCCAAAGGCCCTTCCATAGGAGTATTGCCACTTGGCATCTTATTTTCACCAATCCTATACAATCCTATCTTTCAGGGTTGTGCCCAATTGTTTGCAACTGCCAGCAAAGGTTCACTACAAGGGCCTTTTTTTTGTCCCCTGTGGAGCAGTCACACGCGAACCGCGTAGTGGAGCAGCTGTGAGGACCAGAAATGCAGGCAAGGTAATTTTTGCTGATTTCTGGGCGTCATCAATTTTTTTATCAAGACAGCATGTGTCGCAATGCAGGTTTCAAAAAATGCAAGGAAGTCGCTTACGATCAGCTGGGGAAAACATGGAGGCCTACGAAAGTCGTTCGGGTCTCAACTGGATTTCCCTCATGATCAAAAAATATATATATATATACTGTACTTGCAATTTCATAATCAAATCTATACCCATCCTGGCCTCTGCAAAGGGGTGAAGGCAATATCGTCCACGTGCGCCACCAAGAGCCACTCCTCAGGTGGGAAAAAGCTCTTCTGGTTGCTGGCTGGGAAGCATTGGACTCCTCGGACGTTGACTGACACCTGACTGACACCACAAGGCCGGGCTTGGGCTAGCCTCTATATGAATAAATCTCAAATGGGGTGCCCCGAATATGTTTTTCAAGGGTCTTAAAAAAAGGGTTTGGGGCCCCCCCACTGGGACCTCTGATTTGGAGACAAACCCATATATATATATTATGGCGAATTTCCTCCAAACAAATCATCGACTGGATGTCAAACACGGACTCCTGAATGTGTTCCCCAGGCTGCAGATGGATTCTTCGGGAATCACGTGTTGGGCGCGGTGGGTGGAAAAGATAACTGCAGGCCGGATGACTACCTATTTGCTCGCAAAAATGTTTCACATTCTGGGTCCAAAACCCCCAAATCAAACATCTTGTGGCTTCCTTTGGGTTCGTCCTTAAACTCGACTCCTGGAAGATTGTATGTGCGCCTAGTCCAGAATGTTGTGGATTTCAATCATCGAGGTCTAGAGAAAATCATTCGAGAGGTGGCATGAAAGATGTGCATCATGTGTGCATGTGAGGGTGGCCCAATGCAGCTTCAGCGTGGGATTCACATTCACCAACAATCAGGTGCACGCATAGATATCTATCTGTGTTGGCCTAGAACTGGAGCAAGGCTTTCCACAGCACGTGACACTTGCCATGCCGGGTGCGCTGGGGCTCACCAGACACCAGACTGCCTTGCTTACAGCATGCTGCCTACCGTGGACGCTGCCCCTCTGCTGTATGTTTTGCAAGTTTGTCTAGATGCGCACTATGACACTTTATAAACGAACATGTTAAATATAGAATGCAAGGGGAATTCGAAAGTGCCCTGCCAGCTGCCCAGGTTCCATGCCCTCGACTATATCGACCAGGTCTCTGCGGGAGAGCCATTGCTGAACCGTCGCGCCTCATCCTCAGCAAGGGAGAAGCGTTGGAATGTCGAACGGACACACAAATATGCATTATATTCTACCACCCATATGCATATATATGATATCCAACCCAGCCCTGGTTTTGAATTCGAATTCGGTATTCTATGTTTGAATGATCATAGACGATCATTGTGAATGCCAAATCCTGATTGTGTCAAGAGACAGATCGCTCAGGACGTCGATTGCCTCGACGTTTACAGTGGCCGAGCAAAGGCTGTGAGCGCTGGATTCCGTCGTTTCCTCAGAAGGAAATCCAAATTATTTCAAGCTATGGACTCGCCATCCAAAGCATTTCATTTCCAATCAGGTGACCCAAAGCGATGTTGATTTTCAATTGCCCCAAAATGGCGGCACCATGTTATTCACCATTCCCTTCAGCATGGTTTTGGAAAAGGCCATCTGAAAAAGACCAGCCCAAATTTTCTGATGTTGGATGGATGAACGGTATGGAAACCTTTGCACTGACCCAGGCTAGGTTCCGGTGCAAACTCCATCAACTCACCGGTTGTCTGAGGTTCCATTGGACGCAAGACGTTCATTCCTCAGCAGTTGCAAAAGATTGGTGCAATAGGTTACACTCTGACCCCCTCGAAGGACGTGATGTGCATGCATAATCCAACCAATGCACGATTGATCGTTATATATATATATATATATCGGGTTCCAAAGCTTCCCAGGCTGGACTATGATATTCTCACAAAGGGAGTTGACAACGACATAACCTCTGTGTCCGGAGCTCATCATGATCGACCATGAATCGTTTGGTGACCGTTGCCCAGATATGATCACTGAAAGATCTGCATATGTTTAATTCTATCATATTCGATCTTTACATGTATAAATATCAGGAGGACCCTTAGGATACCTTGGGTTGTGGCGCTTACTTCCACGCTCTGAGGCGCGGCTTCCTGAAGTTGCTACAACTGGCTCTTAGAGTCCGCCCTGAAGGGCTGGGTGCCCTGGGCATCCCATGCTCAAGTTATATATTCCTCAATTGCCCTACCCACGAGAGAAGTGAATTTCAGCCGTTCGGAAATGAGCGGCTTCCATATGTGGCTACGGCAAATCTGTCATACCCTGAGTTGCAAGTGTGTGATTTTTGAACAATGACGTGAAATCTTCAAGATCTAGAGTGTTTTATCAAGGGTTGCGCCTTGCGGCTTGCCTAAAACTAAGGATTGGATGTCGCACAGCTTTGGTCATTTTGGTGATGATCTGCAGGGCTGTCTACATATTTGTGGAACAGCCGGGGTCCAGCAAGCTATTCATGGTACCATACTACAGGTTCATCGAATCAATGTGTGAGCGGTTGGGCCTCCCATTTCACAACCGCTTTTTGCCAGATACTTAGATACAATTGATGAGCTTTCAAGATGCATGTTAGTATCATCATGATTTGTAGATCTACTAGTTCGAGCTGGATAAATGAGTGTTTAGCACCTCGTGGCATCGTTTGGACACTTCTCCCGGAAACCTTCAAGGGGATGGGGAACTGCGTGTGTGCCTCAAACACATGTTTAAGTTCACACTGGGCAGACAAAGGTGACTTCGTTCTAATAGCTCGTTCATCCACTGTGACACATTCACACAAACATATAGTATTTATATACAACATGCTAAGGCCCTGGATTCCACGACTGTATTTGAAGATGAGCGCAGACCTTCGAGCTAAGTGTTCCAGCACGGGGGTAACGGTAAAGAAAGTCGACCCAAAGACTGGAAAGAAAACTGTGTCGCTTCCTGAGTTTGGGGGATGTCTCAAAGATATGTGGTTGATCACATATGCTCTTTTTTTAAAATATAAACATGAATACGATATGCATACATACATGTATGCCATTCCAAAGTATCAGGAAACAAACAGTTCTGATTTGAAACTAGCACCTCATGGCTGCCTGAATCAGATGAGGTCTGGGGGAAAGCGCTTGAAGGAAACGGAGCAGTACCCAGCGGGATTTGGAAGAGCACTAGCGCTTCGACATGCTTTTGGGAAGGACAGGAATTTTCTAACCCATGTTCATTTGGATGTGCCTGTGCCAAGACAAATCTATAGACGTGTTGGCGTACGTATGTAAGCCCCCACAAGATCATCCCCATAAGAATTTCGACCAACTCGGTCAAATTTGGTTGGCCCAAAGTTCCTGAAAAGCTTGTGATGGTTGAGGGGTCCACTTGGGGAAAACCTATATATGGGTATGTCTCAAAATGAGGTGCCCTTTTTTCCCTTTACTTAAAGTGGGTTTTAAACAAAAAAAGGGCACCTCAATTTGAGACATACCCAAATGGCATTGATCTCCGAGTTACCTTTTGAAGTCTCCGAGTTAACTTTTGAGGTCCCCTCAAGAACCACTCTTGACTTCTCTCGGTTTCTCTCGGTTTCTCTCGGGTATATACGGTATACATGCCATGCTAAGACCCAAATATTTCTTGCTTGGCCAGTGGCTAGAAGGGAAACTCCTTGAGTTAGAAGTTCTTGCGCTTGAAGGACATGAAGCGATCTCTCCTGAAGAGCAGCTTGAAGTTAGCAGAAGAGAAGTTGCCGTCTCTCAAGGCCAGGGCTGGGTGTTTTTTGGAAATACTCAAAGCCATCACAAACATACATATGTCTCAAATGCGTTTATGCTATGTCTCAAGTATAGGTGGTCTATTTGGGTTTCCAAAAGCTAGTCATCATGTTTGAAATCAAACTATATAGGCCATTCAGCGGATACTAGTAGGCGGTACGCATACCTAAATTTGAAGTTCAAAAGCCGGTGGATCCAAACATCCAGGCGGCTTTGGTAAACAAATATGGTGGGGTCCAACTTGAGGGATCAATACAACTCATAGCATCATCGATTGGAATTTGGGCAGAGGTGCCAGCACCCTAGTTAAACCCAACATAACCTTCAGAGACGCCCAAGCCCCTAAATAGCCGAACATTGGAAGGGATTTGAATTTTGAAGTTCCCGTGTTTGACACATGACCCACCATGCTATATTACAATACTCGTTTCATTGCGCTGTCAGGCAGTGGAAGCTCCACTTGAATGGAGCCATGCAAAGCTAGACGATCTTAGGATCTTTTTGCGAGAGCAAGCCGAGCAAGGGGTTTGGCGACCAAAAGTAAATTTTGGATTGTGACATGACACGGTGTCACTTTCATGGCGTGGTCCCATAATTGTTTCCATTTTCAAATTCAACGTCAGTTGCTTTTGCAACTGGCCATTTGTTTCAACACCAAATTAGCTCTGCGCTAAAGGTCAGCATGATGTGGCTCTTTCACATCTGGATGTATCCAATTGTGTGCAAAGATGTTGAAAAAACTGGTTTCGTTTTTGGCTGCGTAAGTGTTGATGTGAAACCTATTTTGGGGTGCAACTTATTTTAGAGTTGCATATATTCAAATCATATCCCACTTGATTTCTGAAGTCATCAAAGTTTTGAATGGAGCTTACATTGTGGGGTGATCTGTTTACATACTACTTTACTTCGAGTGATCCCCACATTTGGACATACATTCGTTCTAGATATACGAACAATTTATCTGACATATGTTCTGGCATTCTACCTGGCAGTCTATCTGACATATATTCTGGCATTCTATCTGGCATTCTATCTGACACATATTCTGACATGGTATCTGGCCATATTTTCTGACATAGCATCTGGCATTCTATCTGACATATTCTGACATTCTATCTGGCATTCTTTCTGACATATACTCTGGCATTCTATCTGACATATATGCTGGCATTCTATCTGGCATTCTACTTGGCATATATTCTGGCAGTCTATCTGACATTCGTGGCATTCTATCTGACATATATTCTGGCATTCTACCTGACATTCTACCTGACATATTTTCTGACATCATATATTCTGACATTCGATCTGGCATTGTTTTTCTGGCATTCTATCTGACATTCTATCTGGCATAATATCTGGCATATATTCTGGCATTCTATCTGGCATTCTATTTGGATCTATTTGGCATATATTCTGACATGGTATCTGGCATATATTCTGACATTCTATCTGGCATTCTTTCTAGCATTCTATCTGGCATTCTATCTGGCATTCTTTCTGGCATTCTATCTGGCATTCTATCTGACATTCTATCTGGCATTCTATTTGACATATTTTCTGGCTTTCTTTCTGGCATTCTATCTGGCATTCTATCTGGCATTCTATTTGACATATATTCTGACATGGTATCTGGCATATATTCTGACATTCTATCTGGCATTCTGACATTCTATCTGCCATTCTTTCTGGCATTTTCCATGGCATTCTTTCTGGCATTCTATCTGGCATTCTACTAATATCTGACATATTTTCTGACATTCTATCTGCCATTCTTTCTGACATTCTATCTGGCATTTTATCTGGCATTCTATCTGACATATATTCTGGCATTCTATCTGCCATTCCATCTGGCATTCTATTTGGCATATATTCTGACATTCTATCTGGCATTCTATCTGGCGGTTGAGGTCCAGCAGTAGTGCGTATTGGGATCGGGAGGTCCCCGGTTCAGGGCCAGCGGTGCCCACTGGGCTTGGGAGGTTGTCGGTTGAGGTCCAGCGGTGCCCACTGGACTCAAGAGGTCCCTGGTTGAGGTCCAGCAGTGCCCTCTGCGATCAGGAGCTGGCGAGGAGGCGAGGAGGCGAGGAGGAGAGGAAGAAGGAGGCGAGGAGAGCTATCTTAAAATCTAGCAACCCTCACCTGGCAGGTGGGGGGAAAAAAAGAATCTGAAATCGTGGTGACTAAGGCAATGGGTTGATTTAGATTCATTCGGATTTGCTAGCCATTTGAAGCCGTGATTGCTGCATCTGTGTTGGAACCATGGATTCTTGGAATGATCAGTATATGTATGTTCCCCTCCAAAAAAATATAGGGGTGCTGTTATGGGTTGAAAATAGTTAACCGAGAGAAATCGAGAGAAGTCGAGAGCGCTTGTTGAGTAAGACCTCAAAAAGTACCTCGGAGACCTCAAAAGTTAACTCGGAGACCTCAAAAGGTACCTCGGCAGCGAGAGCAAACCGAGAGCAAACCGAGAGCAAATCGAGAGCAATCGAGAGTAGTCAACTCGGGCTATACTTGTGATCGGGGGATTAGCTGAGACCTTGGAAAAAATTGAACCCTGTCAACAAGGAGGTTGGAGCTGGGTTGCTGCTGGTATTTGTTCTCTAATTAGAAGTGCTGGGTTTTGTGCATCTTCAGCCTGTGACTGGTCAAACGTTTTTCCATCGCTAGTTCGGCCTTGGACCTTGGGTTGGGGAAGCATGGTCTTGGATGCGGCTCTGGCAGCAATGCTGGAAAAGGGAAAGAAAGAAAGGAGCCAGCTCTACGCAGCTCGCACATCCCCAATTTCAGTTGCGTTGGGTGCTTAATGATGAGTGTTGTTTGAAATTACCACCAACTATGCACAATGCAAGTTTATGACATATATATATATGATCATTTTTGGAAGTGCTTTGTGCACATCTCAATCCTGCCTAGGTCAGATACCCAATCCACAGAACCGATGTCTGCAGGCCACATAGGATGTGTGGTTGCCCCTTCTCATGATCAAGTAAATTATAATATATGATACGCTTATGTTTTTATCGTTTGTGGGTCACCCAGCCAATGATACACTAATGAGGGGAATCCAGCAACTTAGACATGTTTGGGTAGTGGAATCGACCATCCTGTCTTCCCACATACTTGTAACATCCTGTGCCAGGTGGAAGTCAAGTTCTTCCCGACACAGTTCCAGGAGCTGAGTTGGGGGGAAGCGGAAAAGTGAAAGATGATTCGAAGAAGGCAATGGCAAAGGAAGTAGCAAAGCAGAAGAGCAAAGAGAAGGTCAAAAATAAGAAATGGCAGAGGAAGGCAAAGAAAGTGAACAAGGATCAGTTTAAAAAAAAGCAAAGAAGGCACCAAAGTTGGACAAAGACAAGGACAAGTCCCTCAAGCCGAGGAACTTGGAGTCCGAGCTTCGAGCTGTAGCCACCCCCCAGGCTTCATTTCCAGAAACTCAGAAGGACCCTGTTGACACTCAACCCGAAGAATTTGAGGAGAATGTGGTGGGAACAGTGGAATGGTCGCACTCAAAGTGGCAACACAATCTGAGGAAGTTGATGGTCAACGAAAACTGGAGGGACTGCGTTGTTGTTGCTGGAGGTTGGCACCTTCACTTTGCCAACGAGAATTGCGTTCTGAGCCATGATGTCAAAGCGTCTCAGTTCCCTTTGACAGTCCTGAGACACCCACAGGCAGCCAAAGTTTACCGCGAGATGACCGAAGAGAGGGAGATGAAAGAACAGGAGCAAATCAGAATTGCAAAGAAAGCAGCAGACAAGAGGAGCGCAGAAGAAAAGGAGCTGGCTGCCCAGAGATCTTCTGAAGAAATCGAGAGGATGAAGAAAGAAGAGAAAACAAAGCAAGAACAGCTAGCAGAAGAGATCCGAGAAAAAGCCAGAAAGTTGAGAGACGAATTAGACCAGAAAGAGAGAGCTACCCGAGAAGCCGAGAAGATCGCAGAAGAGAAAAAGATAGCTCTGGAAAAGGAGAAGGTAGCAGAAGAGAAGAGACTTGCAGAGCAGGCCAGGGAAGATAAGGTGAGGAAGCTCGTGGAAGAGATGAAAGCTGCAGAGAAAGCGGAAGAGGAGCAGAGGATGGCAACGGAGAAGGAAAGGGTTTTGGAGGAACAGAGAAGGATGGAAGACTTCAGGAAGATTGCAGAGCAGAGAATTTTTGAAGAGAAAACTGAGGAAAAGAAGAGGCTCGAACTCGAAAAAGAAAAAGAGATGGAAGAAGTGAAGATCGCAGAGAAGAAGCTTGCAGAGAAAGCTGAGGAAAAGAAGAGACTCGAACTCGAAAAAAAGAAAGAGGTTGAAGAACTGATGATCGCAGAGAAGAAGCGAGCAGAGGAAGCTGAGGAAAAGAAGAGACTCGAACTCAAAATAGAGAAAGAGATGGAAGAACTGAAGATCGTAGAGCAGAAGAAGCTTGCAGAGGAAGCTGGGGAAAAGACGAGACTCGAACTCGAAGTAGAGAAAAAGATGGAAGAACTGAAGATCGCAGAACAGACGAAGCTTGCAGAGAAAGCTGAGGAAAAGAAGAGACTTGAACTCGAAATAGCGAAAGAGATTGAAGAACTGAGGATCGCACAGATGAAGCTTGCAGAGGAAGCTGAGGAAAAGAAGAGACTCGAACTTGAAATAGAGAAAGAGAAGGAAGCAATGAAGATCGCAGAGAAGAAGCGAGCAGAGGAAGCTGAGGAAAAGACGAGACTCGAACTCGAAATACAGAAAGAGATGGAGGAACAGAAGATCGCAGAACAGAAGAAGCTTACAGAGGCAGCTGAGGAAAAGAAGAGACTCGAGCTCGCAGTACAGAAAAGGATGGAAGAACTGAAGATCGCAGAGCAGAAGAAGTTTGCAGAGGAAGCTGGGGAAAAGACGAAAAAGGCGCAGATCTTTGGAGAACAAGCAGCTGTACAGTCAAAGGAATTTGAGGAACAACGGATCCGAGAAGAAGTTGAAAAGCGGCTGGCAGCAATTGAGGAGCAAAGGGCAATTGAGGTGAACCTTCTGAGGCTATCATCCCAAGATTTGCCTTCTGCGCCTGCCACGCCATTGCCTCCGGATCACCTGAATCCACCCGAACTTACACCTGGAGAGGAGGAAGCAGAGAAGGAGAAGAAAGAGAAGCTGGAAAGACGCAAGAAGGCTCTTGTGAGGTGGAACAGGTTCATGAGGACCTTGGAATGTGAGGGCCTCATATGACCATTACAAATTCCAGCATGCATATAATTGCCCTTGCAAGAGGTTGACTTTCACATAAGGTTGAAGAGCATTGTCCGGTTTTTGCTAAGGCACTGCCCGGAAAACACCGACAGAGATCAAAACTTTGGGAGAAAAAGCCATTGCAACAAAACAAAAGACTGGCCACTGGGCTAAATCTGCAATTCTTACATATTGCGTACACATGGTTTTGAATCACATCACACACACAAACATATGTGCACACTTACATTGGAAAGAAACCTGCATGAAAATGTCAGAATATTCCAAATCTCACTGTCTTATATCCGTCAAAGTGCTGATGAATTCCATCCCCCCAGGTGACAGCAGTGCACTCCACGAGCTGTACGAGAACTGGATTGCAAGTGGTGAGGACTGGCGAAAGACACGCATCTATATCAAGATGACCGACAACTCAGGAAAGATCGACGCTGACGCAAGGGACTGGCTGTGCAAGACCGAACTCGTTCAAAAGATGGGAGAAGCCGGGGCTACCGCTATGATTAATTTCTTAGAGGAGCAAAAACCTGATCAGGTCCGAGACCACCCTGATGCACCTGGCATCAAGGACACCGAGTGTTTTTGATTATGGTTATCCCTAGTACAAAGAGTCAAGCCTAGATTTGGACCTATGGCTTTGATCATTTATGATAACATTAGAATTCCCCATCCTCTATATGAGAGAGAGAGAGGAAAAAACATACCGCTGTTGATACCATCCTATCAATTTTTTACGATTTTGAGAATATTGCTGTTTATAATAATTTAGAATCCACAATCGCACTGAAGCAGGAATGCAGGCAATTCAAAGTGCTATATCTTGATATACGTTATTATATAAATTTAAAATCCACAATCGCGCTTGCAGGAATGCAGGCAGTTCAAAGTGCAGATCATGGACAAAGAGGAGAATCGCCACGAGAATTGGGCATCAAAAGTCATGGAGGCCCATGATGAGAGCTCATCGTCTTCCGACTCCGAGCAGCCCCGAAAGGCGCACCCGCAGATGATAAATCTAGATTAGTTTACTTCGAGTGATCCCCACCGTGACATTTATATTTGGACATATCTATATATGACAATTTGTCTGACATGTATTCTGACATTCTATCTAGCAAATATTCTGGCATCCTATCTGACATATGTTCTGGCAGTCTATCTGACAAATCTGGCATTCTATCTGACACATATTCTGACATGGTATCTGGCATAAATTCTGACATTTTATCTGGCATTCTATCTGGCATTCTTTCTGGCATTCTATCTGGCATTCTATCTGACATATATTCTGCCATTCCATCTGGCATTCTATTTGGCATATATTCTGACATTCTATCTGACATTCGTGGCATTCTATCTGGCATTCTTTCTGGTATTCTATCTGGCATTCTATCTGGCATTCTTTCTGGCATTCTATCTGGCATTCTATCTGACATTCTATCTGGCATTCTATTTGACATATTTTCTGGCATTCTACTTGACATATATTCTGACATGGTATCTGGCATATTTTCTGACATTCTATCTGGCATTCTATCTGATATATAATTCTGACATTCTATCTGGCATTCTTTCTGGCATTCTATCTGACATATATTCTGACAAATATTTTGACATTCTATCTGGCATTCTATCTGACACATATTCTGACATGGTATCTGGCATATATTCTGACATTCTATCTGACATTCTATCTGGCATTCTTTCTGTACATATGTTCTGGCATTCTATCTGACATTTTTTCGGGCATTCTATTTGACATATTCTGACATATGGTATCTAGCATGATTCTGACATTCTATCTGGCATTCTATTTGGCATATATATTCTGACATATGAATGCATTCTATCTGTTATTCTTTCTGACATTCTATCTGGCATTCTACTTGACATCGATATTTTTTCTGGCAGTCGATCTGACATATTTTCTGACATGGTATCTGGCATATATTCGGACTTTTGCCTGGCATTCTATCTGACATATTCTGGCATTCTATCAAACATTATATTCTGACATTCGATCTGGCTTTTTATCTGGCATTCTATCTGACATATGTTCTGGCATTCTATCTGACATTCTATTTGGCATTCTGTTTGGCATATTTTCTGACATTCTATCTGGCATTCTATCTGACATTCTATCTGGCATTCTTTCTGGCGGTTTAGGTCCAGCAGTGCCCACTGATATCGGGACATGGTTGTTGAGGTCCAGCAGTGCCCACTGCGATCAGGAGCTGGCGACGAGGGGAGGAGGCGCGGAGAGCTATCTTGAAATCTAACAACCCTCACCTGGCAGGTGGGGAAAAACAAAGTTCAAAACCGGTCGCAGATTCACTTGATCAATCTTGATCATAGTATGAATCAATGGGCATTTTTCCAGAAACACACATGGCTGATTTTCAAATGTGGTTTCAACAGCATGTCATGACCAAACTTGATTTGGGAACCTATGCGGCCATGAGAATCCCAAGCCCGCTTTTTGCTCCACATGAGTTCTGCCATGACATCGGTGACGGAACGGATTGTGATGCATTTGGAAGAGCTGAAGTACCAACGTTTGTGTGCTTCCTGTTGGGCACAAGTTCTCATAAATGCGGGCTACCTTGATGAGTTACTTTGTATCGGCAATATTGATTTTGATTTTTGTGCACCCCATGAAAGTCAATTCTAACATGATTCCGGTCCAACATATTCCCATCGACTTACTTACTATCTTTCATCCCAGGTTATCCAGTGCCCGGCTGATCATGATTTCTAAAGACTGCCCATGTGAAGATCTCAGCATCAAGGAAGAGAAGGAGCATTCCGAAAAACAGTAGCCTATGCTACTGCTATCTTTAAATTAAAGCCTGGGGTGAAAGGCCACAGGTCAATTCATGTGGCGATTTGATGATTTCGGTTCCTCAACCGATTAGCGATAAAAATGTGTGACGATTTTCTTTGCAACTGACCCACGGCCACTTCCAAGCCAAGTTTCTGCACGTGTCACCCTCCAGGATGGTCAGATATCGAGGCAGCAATATCGGATATAATAGGGTCCAGCCTTCAGAATTGCAGGTGTGTGCTGATCAGATTTATCGATAACTTTTTTTAAAAATATATATACCCTCGCCACATGCAGGCCAGAAAGGCTACAGGGCAAAAGGGCGGAGAGAAAAAGAAAAACATGGCACCCAAGGTTGAGAAGGCTTGCCATGAAATCCCATCTGGTTTCTTTCAAGCCTCTCCGCCAAGGATCCCCTATAAATGTAGGGGGGTATGCAAAACTGTTCGAAATTCTTCTTTTGACGACATCCTGATCACTCAACACCATTATCTGCAGCAAGGCGCTGAAAAGCGCAGACAAGAAGCTGGATGACGTCAAAGATCTCGATCTGTCGAATTTTCCGTGCCTTGGTTACGTGGTGGTGTGAAGAAATCACATTGGGGGCCACCTTAACATTGGACAGGTCCACACATACAAGATTTTTGAAGTCATGAGTAGTAGATCAGTTGGACCCCCCTGAAATAGGCTTTGATCATATATATATATGCCCTGTAATATATATAACGAAATTCTCTTCTTGGCTCCAAGGAGTGTTGGCCTCAAGAAGGCCATGGAAGTGGAGCTGGAAAAGGCCGTTAATGCAGTCAAGGAGCACAAGTCTCGCTTGGAGAATCTCAATCTCCAGGAGGCCCGTAGAATCCTCACAATCATTTTCACGAAGAAATAGGCAATTTGCAATGTGGCTAGATTCCTAGATATTATCAAACACTATCCCCATGGCTCCCCCCAAGGAAATAATATGTTTTTTTTGGGACACAAGTATGTACAATTTCCATCAGAATTATCTTCCATCCAGCATGGCCTCAACCATGTTGATATTGTCTTCCAGGAACTTTGTGAAACCGAACCCCAAAAAACACAATCAACCCGAATGAGCCAGGTTGAGGAGGCAGTTGTGACTACTGGCATTGGTGAGCTGGCAGCGGCAGTCAGTGGGCTTGGGGATTTGGCCAAGTCAACCCCCAAGCGCAGATCCGAGCCCAAGGCAAAGGCCGATCCAAAAAAAAGCGAAGGAAGGCGTAAGGCCTTTCTCTTTTTGGGGAGTGCACTGGCCATGGCTTCAATGACATGTCAGTTTTTGATTCAAAATTTTAAATGATCCCGAACCCAAATTCCTCTTATTGCAGATAAAGTTCGTCCAGGAATTGCAAGAGCCGTCCAGCCAGTGCAGCAAAGTTCTGCTGTGATAGCCTTGGCTGGCACAGGGAGTGTGCCGGTTTGTGCTTAGAACATGGCAGCTATTTAGATTTGGGTTTTGCGCTGAGCAAATCTTCAGCTTGGTTATGAGTGGCCATAGGATGCATCATGGGTTGGTAGATCACGATCACACAGCTTTGGAACAACACGTTGTCATCGCTGAAAAAAATTCACAAAAAATTGCGCGTTTGCTTCAGTTAAGACCAGGTGAAACCTGAAATCTGGCATACCCCCAACATCCTCCAACCACATTTTGGTCCTTTCGATTTGGGGTTGGGTGATTTTTGGATTCCACATCAAAATCATTTTCTTGTGATTAGAAATGTGATTCATCTCGCTATCATCCAATCCAATGGGGAATCTTTACCAGTGGCACCTGTTTGGCTGTTTGGGGAATAAATTCTCTATAAGTCGAATTCTGATTAATTATATGTGCCCCTGTCCTCCCGAAACCATTTCACCATCATGCGCAGACACGGCAGGTGATGCTGATGGCAAAGATGCTCCTGAGAACAAAGCGTTGTTCATCAACATGTTGTCAGAAATTGGGGACGGCGTTGGGGTTCCCAGATCTTTGGGTATGGTCATGGATGCTGTTCATCAAACAAAAATAAACCGCAAAGTGATGCAAAATGGCTGGAAATTTCAAAACCTATACCGGTATTTACCTTTACTTTACCGTATCCCAATGTTTTTTATCTTCGATGTTCATTGGCATCAATCCCCATTGTGTATACGTAAGTATAATTTATACATATATACGAGGAAATCTCTTCTCTGCCTTCTGAGGCATCGAGCCTTAGAAAGGAGATGCAGTCCGCACAAGCAGCTTGCCAGGAGCGTGCTGACCATGGCACAGGTGACAACACATGGTGTTGTGCTTAAAGTTTGGGACCCTCTAGCACTTGCAGTTGAAAATAAGATCAGAAAAATGTTGGTCCACTGATGCCCACTGCAAATACTGGTCTATGTATGTCTGTGTGAAAATAATCCTGAATGATCGCTTCAGTTCTTGTGGTCGCAGGAGTCTCGGAATTCCTTATCCCGTATGACTACGAAGCTTGGCAATTTTTCTACATGGAATTACAGCCGCGACTTTAGCAGAACTGTGCAGCAGCCGCTGGACACTTCAAAGGGGTTGAGGGCTGTTGTTGGTTGGTTTGAATGTGGGGTTTGCCCATGGGACCTTTTAAGCATATATATATATAATGATGATCTTTTTTCCATTCGTTGAGGTGGTTTGCCCATTGACCTTTTAAGCATACGTATCTCCATATTAGATCTTTATACAATGAGGCGAAAATTAGGCGAAAAATGCGCACATACATGCATGCATGTGGCATGCTTGCTGCACTCTGTGCCCCTGCAAGGAGATGTCTTGGGTTGATTGCCCGGTACCACCTGGCAGAGAGTCTGTGAAGAACTACGCGCACGAGGGTGTGCCGATGTTCGATCCACACAAGATTCTTGCATACTTGTTTGATGAGATATCTTTGACCATCCCGCCAGAAACGGTTAAGCAGTATTGGGAAGAGGCAGCTAGGGCTGGCTGTCCTTGGGCGCAGCGCGAAATTACTGAGTCAGACCCCTCGGAGTTTCGCATCCCAGTGAAAATCTTTGGGGATGATTGTGTTTACGACGAGCGTTTGACCAAAGCCTATGCTATTTTCATGTCGTTGCCGTTGTGGAGGCCGAACTCTGCAAGAAGCAGTCGGTTTCTTATATGGTCACAGAAATCAAGCCATTTTGCTGGCTTCCAGGGTTTGCAACCGTTGCTCGCTCGCATTGTGTGGTCCCTGAACATCGCCTACGACACAAGACTAGAGAAGAGCGGCCTCCGCTTCTGCGTTTGCGAGATTGGAGGCGATTGGGCATGGAATCGCTTTTTCTGGCAGATTGAGCGCCATTGGAATGGTGTGCACCCCTGCATTTACTGTGATGTTCAAAAGTATGGCCCTGCAGCATATCATAGATTGAATGATATCACCTGGTTCTCAAACCTCAAGTTTGTGAACGACATTGTTGGAAGTGGCCTGTCCAAACGTGTCAATCCTTTGGTTCTACTGCGGAACTTTGACATATCTCTAATTCAGCCCTGCCAATTACATAACTTGAACTTGGGACTACTTTGGACGTCCAACGGCGCCGCCGTGGCGACGTTTGGAGAGTTGGGCTTTTGGGGCGACCCGAACATAAGCTTGGCTTTGACAGTGGAAGCTGCCTGGGACGATTTCCAGATTTTCCTCAAACAACAAGGCCGTCATTGCTCTCAATCCAAATTTACTACGAAGATGATATTCAAATCATCTCATGGAGCGTATTTTACATCCAAGGGGCACAATGCACGAGTTCTGGCAGATTGGTTAGCTGACTGCGCTACCTTTGTCCATGAACAAAACTTTGACGATGCTAGAATTTTTGGGCGCTGGTTGCAGCAAAACCCGCAGAGATTGCAAAGAGCACTTGGTGATGAGCAACTTCCTCACTTGTGCTACGCTTTGCCTCTTGGTGCCAAACATATGTCTGCATTTGTGCATGCATGAAATTGCGACCCCCAGGGGCATAGGCTAAGGGTATTTGGTTATCAGAATCCACATCAGGATTTGTGTCTCCCGCTATATGGCTTTGAGCGATCGCTATCCGCGGTTTTTGTGCCTCTCCAGAATTATTTGCATATATATAGGTTTCCCATGGGCAAAAGTCATTGTGGGAGGTTTTCATCTCCAGCTTCGAGTGTCTGGCTGACTAGTGCTTCTCCTCTAGCCACACCATTAGCTGCTGATCCCAAATCTGAGGACTGATGGCCAAGCGAACGAACTCTGCAAATTGGGTGATGGCTTTCTCCGCTCACACAAAGTCCTCAACCACATTTCCTTGAGGAGAATAAGTTGTCAGGTGGTTGTTAAAACTTGTGTGGACCAGGATTTGTTTGTACCCCAATTTTTTCATTCCGTTTTGAGAACAGGATGAAACGACGAAGGTGGCTGATAAAGCCAAAATACCATGTTCCTTGGCTATGGATACTTTTGAACTGCCATGGTTGATCCCACATCTTTCTAACCTGTCCCAATTCCCTTCATTCTTAAAATCCTTAGGCTTGGCAAGAGCATTTGAAAAGGACAAAGCAATGGAGAACCTGTGTGGCATCTCGATGATCAACATTTTTATAATTTCCTCTTTAAGTTAAAAGTCGTTGCCGAGGGGACCTGAAAGGTACAATTAGCCGGAAGGATATCCCAATGAAAACACATGAGCGCCTAGGATTGAACACTCGCTTTACTGCTGGGTGGATTGATGAAGATGCTATGGGGCTTCTCAAAAAGTTTGCTCGGAAAGCATCCCCACGTCCATTGAAATTCAGCTCTGGTGTGTTGAAACTAGCTGGCTTCAGGCTCTTGGCCTTAAGATTTCGTGTGGAAAGCCTAAATGCACAGGCGCGAAAGCGCAAACAATGAAGCTCAGGGAAAAAGAAACCATCCGCTGCTGGGAAGCACAAGAAAAGAGAATCATATGCATCATCATGAGATCAATATTATATCATCGCAAATCATCGCGGTATGGGTCATATGGACAATGTCTGGGTCTCTCGGCGCGTGGACCCTCGGAAATTCTATGGAACCCTCGGCGAATGTACCTTTTCAGGTCCCCTCGGCAAGGACCTTAACTTTTGAGGCCTTAGGACTTATAGGGTAATATATATATATAATGTATGTCTTGGGGATATTTGAGGATTATCACAATCCATGAGCTGCGAATCCAGATCAACCAACCATAATTTTGAGAATTGTCTAACAGGTTCTTTACACTGCTCACATGAAAACATCCGTCAATTTATTACAAAGGATCTTGGAAGGGAGGAGAATCGTGTCAGGTAATTCGGGGCGATTCTTAGCATAGAACTAAGTGTGCCACATGAGATACTACATGGATATGTTGGTTTCAGTTGTATGTCCCCTTATACTGGTTTCTTGAAGACGAAGTCAGACTCAGGCTTAAATACACCTCAATGTACTTACTGGTGCTTAGTAGGGAAGGGGGAATGATCTATCATAACTAATTATTAACCATCATCCCATTCCCCCATTCCCTACAAATAGCCAGTAAAGAGGACATCTTTTGGCCTTGCACCTGTTTTTCTTACCACCAGTCCCTGAGGTGTCTGATTTTCGTGTGCCACGTCCTACTGCTGTGCACTGCAGTACGTTTCGCGCTGCTCAATCGACGGATGCTTGGTGATGCCGAGCTGGATGCCATCTAGACTCAAGTCTAGTTGTTGGAATGTTCCTTGCGTTGTTTTGAATGGGTTGAAACGACTGACCGGAGTTGCAACCGCGCCACTTTGCGGCCTTGAACAAATAACAGAGAACTTCAATGGTAGTGTTGAGTCATTTCTAGTCTGTAAACAGCCTCAGTCACTCATAGTAGCTGTCCATCTCCCAAATAATCCCAAATATGTTCGACACCTCAGTAATAGCTGGGTTTCTTGCTCCCAACCTGAACAAGTCAGTAGGATCTGCGGAAAATTGGGGTATGATTAGATTGTGTGGCGACGAGTTTTCCTTTGGCTTTGCTCGTGTGTTGCATTGGGTTTTGGCCGGTAACTTGGTTACAGATGGTTAGAGTGTTTTTGAATATGTATTTGTGTGTGTGTGTCGTGTTATGCAACTGTTTTTTTGACGGTACATATTCATATAGAATCATATAGATATCTTGTTGTTCGAATTACTCTCTGGTGGTGCAAGTTCACTTTTAGCTTCGTCAAAATTGAAGGTTCAAAGATGTTCCAAGTCATTGCCTGAGCTAAGGAAGGGCCTCTTGCCAGACCCATCCTGGTTTCCAGGTGCACTTGCGGTGGGGATTCTTTGTAGCGTTGCATAAATCCACTTAAATAGGCCCAAGTGAGCATTCCAAGAGGTAGTCTCCAGATATCTCGAGTGCCTCCTCTACTGATTTAGTTACTACGAAGTTTAACTTACTGGTGCGTTTTACGAAGGAGATTTTCGGGAATGATCCCACTAAATCATTAATGTCATCATCCCAGCTCCAGCAACCCATCCACCCTACACGAAGCCCCTGCAGGTCTTTTGCTCTTCGGCATGACCAACATCTCAGCATCGCTTGTTGGAGCCTGGGCGAAGACGCAGGATGCCACCAAGAGAGGGGAGCTGACCATGGAATTGAATAGAATTGATCATTTGGCTATGGATCAATACCTATACATACCATTTTTAGGGGGATGGACATCCATTTACCAGCTATTTTGATGTTCACCAGGGGCACAAGGTTTTGACACTGCCATTTCTCAAAAAGGCCAACAAATCCAAAAATATCCAAAACACTTCTTCGAAACATGTCAAGACATGTCAAAAACCTTCTTCTGGTTGGATTCGCCATGTGCTCCACCGGTTGATTTTGCCACCGCAGGATTCTCCTTGACTCTACTACAAAGTGTCCAATAATTTGTTATCCAACTCTTTGACAATGACAAGGTGAACACGTCGAATGACGGGCACAACTTGAAGGCGACTTGTTTCCCCTGGTTATCCTCTGACCTGAGACAACATCCAACTGGAAAGTTAAGCTAATTGTGGCACCAGTTCCTATCAGGGTGGCTTGCTCTTTAAGCAGTTGACCCACAAGTCCAGACAAACCTTGAACACAAGACGGAGATGGGTGTGGGATCTTGTCAAAATTTGTCAAATATAATATAGTCGATAATTTGGTAAACCCCATGCCATAAGCCATCCCCAAGTCATCACCATTTTTATGAGCATAAACCATGTCCTTAAATGGTAAGTTTATAGGTCCACCATGGTCCACCCAAAAAGAACCTGGCTGTTTCCCTCACGGTGTCCGACCATTCGCTTCTGAAAAGGTTAAATCGCAATGTCATGGGTTAAGATCCCGATTTTTCTGTATGTCAGTGGGCAATCCTAATGAACATATTTCCCTATGAACATAGCCTATGAATGCCTATGATTAATACCTCCATCAAATTGATGATTTAGCATCCATTTCCCTATGAACATAGCCTCTGGCATCCTATAGCCATATCCATGGATAGTATACCCCGTTTTCAGACAAACCATATTTTAACATGAATCCATTATATAATATTATTAATGTGCAATTAGTATTAGATGGGCGAGTTAATAATGATGAATCCATTAATTCTACCTCCATCAAATTGATGGCATACTAAATCCTCAGAAAATGGAGTAGCTATGAGTAGCTTGGTATTGCATAATTATACCATAGATACTAAACATGTTCATATTAATGGATACTACACCTGTGTACCCCATGAATTTTTGTGCGAAAATGACACCGGCGCTCTGAAAAGCTCTGCCAAGGACCGGAGTGGCTCAAGGCCCTCTCGGTTCCCTGGTCATTTTGGCTGACCATCGTCACTGGGCGGAAATGGGGAGTTCACCGCTGGGATTGAAATGGAAGCCAAAAGCCGGGGGAAGAAAATGGGGAATTTTTATTGGGTGGATGATGTCTTCCCAATAATAATCCCAATAATAATCTCAATAAAATGTATTGGGAATATTATTCAAGTATTGGGAATTTATGATGTCATGATTATACTTGAATACTCGCTGTTTTCTGTTTGAGATTCCGATAGAGATGCTTGTAACTGTAACTGTAATATGCTGTAATTATGTGTTGTGTATATGTACATTGCAACAGATACCCAATTCCGGGAAGCATCCCACAGTCACTGCTGCGAGTCGTCTTCGCTGAAACCATCTTCCAACGACATCTGCGGGGTTCCGGGGTTCCCTTCTGCGGGGTTTGTCTGATACCCCAGAATTTTGATGGCCTATTATCATCTATTATCATGTTCATTCATGTTCCATATTAAGTGACCTTCTCTGGGCTTGAAACATGATTTACATGGGGTTTACCACATTTTCAGACCAACCCACATGGCTCCATCTTTGTCACCGGTATGTCTTGGTTGCGCCCCAAAACGATCCGGTTCGCCGGAAGGTGATCTACCTCCCTGTGAAGCTGATTGTGATCTATCGACCCTTGGGCCGAACCAGACGGCCATGGTTCGGGCCATGATGGTCTGCCCGACACGCAACCAGGGTGTGGTCAATGAGCACACCGATTTATGAGTTTCTTTAGGATGATGTAAAGATAATGTGCTTGATGTTCGGAGTGCCAAATGGTATTCTTACGCAAAAAAATAGTACATTGCAAAACCATCCACTATTTGAGGCACACACACCATGTTACGCGCCAACTATGCTGTTTTATTGACTTATTTGGTTTTACCATTATACAGTTATACCTGTTTCATCCTTTTTCGATACATGTTGTATATTACCCTGCTTGAAGGATCTTGACATGGATCGTAATTGTTTGGTGTTAAAAGGGGTTAATTCACCTAATTCACCCATTGAAATATTGGAAGTCCCCACCAGAGTTATCAATCCTGGCTAGTTAGTGGTTTTAGAACATGCTATAACATGCTATAACATGTAATAACCCAGAGAAACAGCACCTGTCATCACTTTTTGTTGGCAGCTGAGACTTTCTCGTGCCATTGCATGCAGATCTCTCAAATTGGTTGGTAGTCCGGCATTCTTCTATTGCACCATGTGCGAAGATTGTCGTATGTAATATATCATATGTATAAATATATATATAGAGAGAGAGATATATCTATCTATCTATCTATCTATCTATCTATCTATCTATCTATCTATCTTTCTATCTATCTATCTATCTATGGATGAATGGAAAATCCGATTTTGTACTATCCATAACTGGGGATGATCCTCCAGCCCTGTGGAGGTTTGTTTCTTTGGTCCCAACGGCGCAGTGTGACGCCCAACGCAGGGATGGCGACCTTTATGGCTCCGGTGTCATGGCATCGACCTGGGAAAAAAAAACATGGTGGTTTAACCTGGTTTACCCTCTGGTAAACTAACATAACTATGGAAAATCACCATTTTTAATAGGTAAATCCACTATAAATCACCATTTTCAATAGCAAACTGTTAAATTACCAGAGGGTAACCATCAACAAATGGAGATGTTCATGAGAATGTCATGGGTTTTTGTATCCTCTGGTCATTTCAGACTTTGCTTTGGAACGTCATGGAACATCCACCATTTTTCCATGGTAAATCAAGTAAAACATCGAAGAAATTGGGCATTGTCCATACAGCTATGTCAAATGAACGGAAGGTGAATCGAAGCGGATCAGTTAGATGATTGTACTGACCCCACCGTTGGATTGAATAAAGGGATGGGAATATCGCAGGTCCCATGGATTTCTAACCTTGAACTGCGGTGGATGGTATCCTGGCGGATCAAATTTTGGGGACGATCACCCAGAGGGCACTCGGCAGTTTGGCCCAGACTTGGCCCAGAGTCGCTTGAGGCTTCATTCTTTACCGTGGTTCATCTGAGCATCGGTACCTGTGGCATCAAGCGACCCCAGGTTTCAGGATGTTTCAGGGCTGACAAATGGTGACAAACAAGTGATGGTAATAACTAATAACATGTAATAACCCCGGAAGACTTTGGTTTCCTAGAATCAAATTCAAGATCATTCAAGTATGCTGTGGAAGCTACGACAAATCGTGAAGTCATGTGCAAGAAGTGCGGATGAAATGGCTTTCAAGAGCGTTTCTACGTCATCTGCGGTCATCAGACTGACTACCTCTTCGACCCAGGATGATCCTCATTCAGACTCTGATGATTTTACAGAACGAACTTCACACTGTCTAAGTGCATTGGCGAAGACTCCGTGGTCCTGCAAGTTAAATCACGAAACTCAAATATATACTGTAATTAGATACTGTATGTAAATATAGATAAAATCCCAGCAACAAACAAACACATAAATCGTGACAATGGTTTGTGTCAAAGCCTGGATGTCAAATCCATAACCTCAGCTTCCTGGCCCAAAGTGCCTCAATGACACCAGAGGCTTATTTGAGGCTTGTGAGTTCTTGTTGTCCAGATTTATGGGTGGCTTGAAACCCAAACTTTAAGATACCAAGCCAATTAGAAAACAAATCAGCACGGAAGCATTTTGGGCTTGTGAAACCCTGGAGCCAAATTCTTGTCAGTGAAATCTGTCTGGATAACCTCCAAATTTCTGACCGGAAAAGTGGACCAGGCAAACCCGGTGGGGACTTGGTTGGCCTAGCGATCTTTGCAGAACTTTGGCAGAAAATGTTGGGCCCAGGGCGTCCAGGGAAGGTGTGAGACCGCTAGTCACAGCCCGGAAAAGTTGTTCAAAAATTTCTACTAAAATTGCAGAAATAGTATGGTAAGTTTCACATGTTCCATCTTTTTGGGGCCTCCGGCCTCCAGGATAGTACAATCTCCTTCTGGATGACCTTGGTGCTCCTGTGGCTGAGGCGGAGCTATGAGCTAGGGCTGTCTCAAATTGACTGAAAGTTTGGCCCCCGAAAATACCACACAAAGGTTTATTTTTCTGTTTTTTTTTTTATAAGGTCGAACTATGGGAACCATAGATGAAAGAGGATAATGATTGAAGTTCAGCTGTCTGTCATACAGTTTGTCAAAGATTGTTTTTGAGGATGTGTTTTTGTATGAGGTTGATATGGCTGTCTCAGCACGTAAATTGGTTGCCGCGTCTCATGTCGAAAAATGTAAAGATAATGAAATCAAAGCCCGTTGACATTTGAACCCATCTGGTTTGTCTGGAAGCAGAGTATACCAGGGATACCGGTATACCAAAAAATTGCAATTTGAATGGCAAAAATATGCAAAATTCATTCAAAATATATATTATATATATAATACCAACAAATTTTGGCTACTCTATTTTCAGACAAAGCCTGTTGATGTTTTCTGGATCATGTTGATATTTTGCGGGGCTGGGATGGGCAAGGCACACCACACATGAAGGGGTCTCACGTGTATCTTTTTGCAATACAATGATGGTTTGTGAGCAGCTCGAGAAATGGGGGAGTGACTGGGTCACAAACCCAAAATATCTCAGTTCATAAGGCCTTAGAATCCAGTTCCTAATGGTTTACTGTTCTAGCTTCAGGGATTGTCCCAGTATGTTGAGCAAGATACAGGCAGATGTTGAAGACGGTACCGGTGGTATAAAATAAGCTGTTCCCTTGTAGAAAGCATTCAGGTGAAGGCGGTACCTTTAGCGTTTAGTATGCGTTTCACAGACATTGGATTAAACATGCCAGACCTTGGATCATCAAAATGAAAAGAAATGAATACAAGAAGCAAGAACATGAATGCAAAATGAAGGAAATAAATGCTAAATGAACAAAAGCAACGCGTACAGTAGGTGGTGAAAGGTGTGCCTGTTGCATAAAGATCATCTCAATAGGTGCAGGGACAAACCATATAGGCTGACCTCGTATAGACCTCGTATCGGACCTCGTATAAATGCACCCTTTTCCACCCTTGCTTAAGTGGTTTGGGCAAGTCTGAAGCATCAGTAAAAGCCAGCGTTCCATGGGAACGGTGAATTATCAACCAAATATGTTTAGTAGTTTGGGTACCGGCGTTCCATTGGAAAGAGGCTTCTGGAAGTGGGTATTTTCACGTCTACAAACCGTAAGCGTTAAAGCGTTTCCATTGGGTTTCATAGTCCAGGTCCTGCCTTTTCTGACTTAGCCGTTACCACGGCGTTCCATGCAGGAACACATATTCTAGCACCACTGGTCCTGCCTTCAACGTTCACCTGTACCTATACAATATTGTACAGACTATACTACATGAATCTATTATATATATATGGGCATAGTTGCGGGTCAAACAGTGCAGGCTTTGGAAATGCACAAATGGTTGGTCGTGTTCCCTAAATGATCCCACTTTAGGATATCCAAATGTGACCCATCCCTCACTCCAGGCGTTCTCTTTGGGCCACCAGCTTTCACCCCAGCCACTTGCCGCGATCAGTACCTACTGTGCTGACATTGAGTGCGGCAAGAGCGCGCATAGAGTTGTTACCCTGAGCTGACTTCTGGTAATGACCAGCCCTGGGTTGACCAGACACGCTGAGGCTTCGTGTCCTTTACCTTTCCCCTGGCGTCCACTGCTACAGCAGCATTGTTGGCTCAGGTGGCGCTGGGACCGGAAACATGTTCGAGTTCTCTGTTTATCTCCTGAAATCAAGGCTCTGACCTCCTTGTATTTCTGATTGTATTTTCATCAGAAACGCCCAGATTTCCTGTGAATTTGTCGTTAATCAAATCAATCTATATTGGGCTTGTCTCAGAATTTAAGGAACCCCCATCGCATCCCACGGTTAAAATTCTCATTTTCCCCAGGTAATCGAGTGATGTTCACATCTTGGCAGTAAATGCCTATAAATGCCTCATTTACAAGACCGACCCACCTGCATCATGGTCCACTTCTATCTGCATACCCCAAATATATTCCTATTGCAAGGGGGTGGTTGAAGATGGGTCCGCTGGGTTGATACCCAGGGAGGCGACTCCTGGTTGTAGCTACGCTTGTTAGATAAACAGAAAGCCACTATCACCGGCTTTCTCCAACCTGAGGTAAGCTAAAACCACTGTTGGGGCTGGAAAACTGGTCTGCCACTGTCTGCCATATTTTGAATCTAGCCATTCCCCTCAAAGGTAGTTTGGTGATATTTGGGGTGGCCAGGGAGCGATAAGAAAAGAAAAGTGGTAAACGGTTACATACATAATAGTGTAGGTTTTTCAAATCGAACTGTTTGTCTACAGGAGGGTAGAAAAAATATTTATTACTAATAACTAACTACTCTCTATTTGATAATACATTTACTAGTAACTATTATGCAACCATATCAACCATCGTTACTATGAACTATTGCATGACCATATCAACCATAGTAAGTAATATCTATTAACCATAGTTGATATAGTTGATGGTTTCTAACCTCAATTAGTAATCCATTCTCCAGTTGCGGCCCTGGCACAGGTGCACCTGCCCTCCGTATCTTCGCCCATGCTGGAGATCTACGGCAAGGTACTGCTGTACGTCAGCACCATGGCACCTTGACAGATGATGGGGTGATGGGGGTTCGTTGATGGGGTTATGGTGCAGAAAATCGTATGGGTTACATAGTGGTTATATAGGGTTTATACTGACTTATATGGGTTATATAGGGGTTGATAGAGGCATCATATGTTGCAGATGACTACTTAGAAGTGAAAATTCTATGGATGTGTTGATTTTGTGAAGTATCTAGCCCAATCTATGGCCATTGAAGAAATAGGATCATCAGCGTTTGACCATTGGACGGAATGGGGATTGCCTCCATGACAACGAGTCAGCTGCCCCTTAGCCACTAACCTGAGGCAAGTGTTGGGTGTGACCCTGTGACTCTGGATCAGACAGTAAAGTTATCTTCTGTACATAGTTTATCATAGTTTAATAAGAAAAGAGATACTTCCTGAGATTATGGTTCAAAACCTTAAAATGGTAGGTGAACATCCCATACAATCTGTTCTTAGGATGTTTCCCAGGATTTCCCAGGGTTGCCTGATGGCTGAGCAAAACAGCATGTGCCGCGCATCTGCAAAATGTCCAATACATTTCTGTATACATCTGATGTTATCCAACCATAAGAAACGTAGCTCAAAGCCACGGTCCATCCTTGAGTCACCGACGAAGCCAGGTGATCCTTGCGGTGCAACTGCGGTTCGTCTACTTCTTGGTGGAGTTGCGGCAGAAGCAGAAGTGACGGCAGGGAAAAAACGCCAATGTCGTGAAGTTGAAGTCAATGAAAACAAGGGGGTGCGTGACTGCCGCCGAACTTGGAGGATGAGGATGGAGGATGAGGATGAGGATGATGATGATGATGATGATGGTGATGGTGATGGTGATGGTGATGATGATGGTGATGATGATGATGATGATGATGATGAAGCTGCTGGTGCTGGTGCTGGTGCTGGTGCTGGTGCTGGTGCTGGTGTTGAGCAGGATGAAGATGAGGATGAGTGGGCGGATATTGATGTTGATCTTGATGGTGACGCTGAGATTCAGTATTGATGTCCCATCTGAAGCTTCGGCTCAAAGTCTAAGAGAAAAACTTGTCGCTGCGCACGATCGATCTTTTCCATTGCCGTCTGGGAGCCCCAGGACTATGGGCCACAAATGGGTGGACGATGGTGGAAGTGAAAATTATTGCAAGGCCTTGATCACAACCATTTCTTATTTACAGCTTGCAACAAATCAAAATAGTTATACACATTTATACACTACAAAATTGAATGTTCCAAAACTGTCAGGTGCAAGATGTCTCAACAAGGCATAATGGCCAGTCATGACCAGACTAAGCTACTAAGGCAGTTGAGGGCGTGTTTACTCCAGCAAACCCCAAATTGCCAAATTCGTACAGGTCGGTGGGTCAACATGGGAAGGAAAAAGATGAACATAAACATCCTAAAACGTGAAAGCATATTATGATATATTATGTATCCATATTTATCCGAATTATGGGCAGTACTCCTTTGATTTCGTAAGGATCCCTCGTCATAGCGATTTTGGTTGTCGTTCTTCAATGGTCTTCATACGCAAAAAAAATGAAAAACAGCCCCTCATCCGACAAGGCTTCTCTGGTGATTTAACGGTAGCGAACTGGAAAGTCACCATTGTTAATAGGTACATCATCATGTTTATCCCATAGTTATATTGAATAACCAGAGGGTATAGTATATTAAAATATATTAAATGTGAATTTATTACGGAGCTCCCCTTTTTCATAGATGGAATATGATGGAATTAGATGGTTTCCTCGTTGGGATCAGCGGGGGTCGGATCAGCGGTTGGAATCAAAGGCCATGATCTGTGAAGCAGCCTCGATGTTCGGGAACAATCTCTTCAGCACCTGACCTTTTCAAAGGCCATGTCTCGGCATTGAGGATCCTCCCATCCAAACGGAAGTCGTTGTTGTTTGAAACATTGGGACCCTTGGGATAAGGGGACCCTGTTTTTGTTGCCATGATTAGAATGATGCAAGTCGGAATTGAATGGGAATCCCACTTAAGTGTGACTTCCGTGCGGTTCGTGGCAGCAACTTGAGGTTGGTGTTTGATTGATAATGTTCTGATGGGATTCGGCTTCCTCTAGATTTCTGGTAGAAGTGGAATGACAAAATCATAGAAAATCATAGATTATGGATGATTATGGATGAATCATGATGCATCTAGGTTCATTCTACCCTCTGGTAAACTAACATAACTATGGAAAATCACAATTTTTAATGGGAAAACTCACTATAAATGGCCATTTTCAATAGCTATGTTAAATTACCAGAGGGTAGCATGGCTGGAACCTGTTTAGATGCAACGGGTAAGTCATGGCGCCTGATCTCCGATCAGACGACGCGGACCTCACCATGGGATGATGGGGGCGGCGGGGGCCTGTCATTTTTTCGCGGAGATCCCATGTGGATTATGTGGCTTTGACTGAAAATAGGGTGCTTCAAAACCCCGCAGTTGATTTATATATGTTACATATGTGTTACATATGTTCCGATTCTGTTTTCAGACAGACTCCATTCGCGGGATTTTTGGTTCAAAAAAGTGATTCGGGGTTTAGCTGTTTGAGCTGACTCAATCGAGCGCTGCCCGGTGAAGTTTTTGTGAGCTATGGAAGCCGCGCCCGTTGAGCGTCATGAGCAATTGGCTCCGCGCCCCGGCGCAGATACATGAAATTTCTGGACCAATGGATGGACCAATAAGCTGGTCATTCTTGGTATGGAAACCCTTCCATTTTGGATGTCAATATGTTTGATATACCTGGTCAATCCGAAAGCGACTGGCAAGGTAGATGCCTTTGTTCGAAAGGTGACCACTTCTGTCCACGGCTGGTTGGGAAATCCCCATTGTCTTATACAAATATATATATATATATAATGTTGTCGACTGATTAGTGGGCGGGGCCCCCCCCCCCTCAAACAATTTTAGTCTACTCAATAACTGACCATTTTTTTGCGCCCCCCCACCCTCAACAATTTTTTTGAATTGATTTCAATTTACTTTTAATTGAAATCAATTTACTTTCAATTGATTTCAATTTACTTTTAATTGAAATCAATTTACTTTCAATTGATTTCAGTTTACTTTCAATTGATTTTCAATTTACTTTTAATTGAATTCAATTTACGTTCAATTGACTTTCAATTGATTTCAATTTACTTTCAAGGGTTTTGTTTTGTTTTTCGACCCCAAAAGTTGCTTGGCACAATAGAGTACCATCCAAACATTCATATTATTGAGTAACTGAGCCACTCATGAGGTACCCCCTTGAAAAATTGTCTGGATGCTGTTTCTTAATAAGGGTTTAATAAGGCATCTAATTATTTGGAAAACCTTGCATTTTAAAGATTTAACACAAATATGGCTTTCTAAAGTAAATGGACCAGCTTTACTCAAAGAAAGGTGGAGAAAGGGTTTTTGATTTTTTTTCAACCCCAAAAGTTGCTTGGCACAATAGAGTACCATCCAAACATTCATATTATTGAGTAACTGAGCCACTCATGGGGTACCACCTTGAAAAATTGTTTGGATGCTGTTTTTTAATAAGGGTTTAATAAGGCAACTAATTATTTGGAAAACCTTGCATTTTAAAGCTTTAATACAAATATGGTTTCCTAAAGTAAATGGACCAGCTTTACTCAAAGAAAGGTTGAGAAAGGGTTTTTATTTTTTTTCAACCCCAAAAGTTGTTTGGCACAATATAGTACCATCCAAACATTCATATTATTGAGTAACTCAGCCACTCATGGGGTACCACCTTGAAAAATTGTTTGGATGCTGTTTTTTAATAAGGGTTTAATAAGGCATCTAATTATTTGGAAAACCTTGCAATTTAAAGCTTTAATACAAATATGGTTTCCTAAAGTAAATGGACCAGCTTTACTCAAAGAAAGGTGGAGAAAGGGTTTTTATTTTTTTTCAACCCCAAAGTTGCTTGGCACAATAGAGTACCATCCAAACATTCATATTATTGAGTAACTCAGCCACTCATGGGGTACCACCTTGAAAAATTGTTTGGATGCTGTTTTTTAATAAGGGTTTAATAAGGCATCTAATTATTTGGAAAACCTTGCAATTTAAAGCTTTAATACAAATATGGTTTCCTAAAGTAAATGGACCAGCTTTACTCAAAGAAATGTTGAGAAAGGGTTTTTATTTTTTTCAACCCCAAAAGTTGTTGGGCACAATAGAGTACCATCCAAACATTCATATTATTGAGTAACTCAGCCACTCATGGGGTACCACCTTGAAAAATTGTCTGGATGCTGTTTTTTAAAAAGGGTTTAATAAGGCATCTATATAATTATTTGGAAAACCTTGCACTTTAAAGCTTTAATACAAATATGGTTTCCTAAAGTAAATGGACCAGCTTTAGTCAAAGAAAGGTGGAGAAAGGGTTTATGTTTGTTTTTTCAACCCCAAAAGTGGTTGGGCACAATAGAGTACCATCCAAACATCCATATTATTGAGTAACTCAGCCACTCATGGGGTACCACCTTGAAAAATTGTTTGGATGCTGTTTTTAAATAAGGGTTTAATAAGGCATCTAATTATTTGGAAAACCTTGCATTTTAAAGCTTTAATACAAATATGGTTTCCTACAGTAAATGGACCAGCTTTACTCAAAGAAAGGTGGAGAAAGGTTTTTTTTTTTTCAACCCCAAAAGTTGTTGGGCACAATAGAGTACCATCCAAACATTCATATTATTGAGTAACTCGGCCACTCATGGGGTACCACCTTGAAAAATTGTCTGGAAGTTGTTTTTTTAATAAGGGTTTAATAAGGCATCTAATTATTTGGAAAACTTTGCATTTAGATTTAGCACAAATATCTATTTCTAAAACAAATGGACCAGCTATACTAAAGGAAAGGTGGAGAAAGGGTTTTTGTTTTTTTTCAACCCCAAAAGTTGTTGGGCACAATAGAGTACCATCCAAACATTCATATTATTGAGTAACTCAGCCATTCATGGTTTTTTCAGACATCTAATTCTTTGGAAAAGGTTGGATCTTCAAGCTTTAACACAAATATGGTTTCCTAAAGTAAATGGACCAGCTTTACTCAAAGAAAGGTGGAGAAATGGTTTTAGATTTTTTTCAACCCCAAAAGTTGTTGGGCACAATAGAGTACCATCCAAACATTCATATTATTGAGTAACTCAGCCACTCATGGGGTACCACCTTGAAAAATTGTCTGGATGCTGTTTTTTAATAAGGGTTTAATAAGGCATCTAATTATTTGGAAAACCTTGCATTTGAAAGCTTTAATTTAAAAAAATGAAAAACAGAAAAACATTTTTAAGTAACCAATTTAAAAATAAATTCAAAAAATAATTAATTAATTAGGAACCATTAAAAAAAAAAAACTGGAAAAACATTTGCCACAATAGAGGCCCCCCCCCACCAAACAGCAGGTTACTGAATAAGGAGGAAAAAGTTTGCCACAATAGAGTACCATGCTACTAATCAGGTGCCAACATTATATATGTATATATACATAAATGGAGGTAGAGACATAAATGGAGCTAGACAGGGGACATACATGACAATATGATATCACATGATATCATTTTCTGCGTGCATCCAAATCCCCTTTCCATTGACGTTGAGAACCTCTCTACTTCATTTAAATTCATTTTGGAATGAAGCGGAATAGCAGTTCCCTTCGGATGCCTCTTGTGGGAGGCAAGTTGCAAAGCAAGCATTCGCTTGCCCAAGGATTCGTGGGTGGTTTGCAAATCTCTTAAAGAAAAGCGAACGCGCGCTCATCCAAGGATGTGGGTGGTTCATATGCAGAATCTCTTAAAAATGAAGTGCCTGCAGAACCACCAGGAGCCGACATCGTGTTGGTGGTGCAGATCTGGAACCAAACCAAAAAGGAGATGTCTACGTATGGATCAACTTTTCAAAGCCACTTCAACGGGCTGCGTTTTATTGTGCTTGGGATGGGTATGATCAGTTGCATTCGTTCAAGCTACCCAGCAGCAGTAAGAATTTTTCCTCATCGACTCATCGATCCTCTCCAACTGCATCGGGATAAGGCTTGATTTCTGAGTCATTGGGCTGTGGGTTGTACCTTATGTTATATACGGTTGTATATATATATATATACATTTATATTATTATATATAATTAGAAGATTTAGATAGATAGACATATTTTACAGTAGCTGGTAGCTGGAATGATGCCTTGAAACCCTGCAAATGTATGTAGCTCGTGGCATGCTCAGGCAACTGTTTGCAGAGCTTTCCAGGGCGTCCCCCTCAAAAAAAAAGTATCCTAAGAAAAATGTGGATTTTGCATTTTTGGAATACATAGGTCATCCGGCGGATTTGGGTTTGTCTGAAAATCGGTTGGTTTGCCAGCATGCTTCAATTAATTTATGGCCATAAATTTGGGGTGCTGTAAAACTCTCCCCTATTTCTACACAAATCCATTTAGGATAGCCGGTTGTGACCAACCGTACCCACTCTAGTTGTCGGTTTCAAAGACGTTGTAGCCATTCCCAGTTGGAATCATCCCAATGTTTCACCACTTTCAAGTTGCCCAAAAACCCTTTCAGCTCTTTGAGCTCAGGAGCTGAGGAAGGCAGGTTTGATCGTGGAATGCCAAGCGACATTTCTCTCCATTTTCGTGTCACATCAATGGCTGGGCAAGGGCCATCCCGACAAAACAGGCGCGAAGAATCCATTCTCCACCTGCAGAATGCAGCCCTGCAACCGTAAATTCATGGCAATTCGCGTGCCACGGGTCGTTTGATGGATTAGTGGCAAGGCGACAAAAAAGGGAGCATATTGCCTTGCCATATATATATATATATCAGTATATATTATATATGGAAATACCATCCATAATATCTTAAATAGATGTGCTTGATTTTGCGTGTTCATAAAAGTTTATCCCCAAGAATCGTCATGATATCGATGCCGGCAGGGGCCCAGTTCAAGATCCTGCAGGACACAAGGGGCCCGTTGCGGGGCCCATTTTTTTTTTGCGCGAAAAGACATGTTTTGAAGGCTTTAAAAGATGCACAGTATTGATTCATATTGATTCTCAATTCATGTTTTCGGGTTTTCAGCTATATTCCAAGCCTCATCATGAACACTCAGAAACAAGAAACGGTGACAACTAACTAGATTCCCTCATGTCAGCAATTTCGGTGTGCGCCCCGTGGCCCCGACCGCCATGTCCCTTTTGGGCCCTTTACTGTACACATCATTGATTTTAAAAACTTGGTGCAAAGCAGGAGGAAATCAGTCTTGCAGTGTAAATCAGTGTGAGGTTGCTATGAAAACAGATATAAACAGATACTGTATGTTGCTCGACTGATCTATCACACCACACAGCTTGTGTTTCAGTTTGTACCTTGGTTTATTCCTTCGATTTCGATTTGGCCCGACCTGCAGCCACTAGGAAGCGCTTGCAAACATCATTGACGGCTTCACCAAAATCGAGTTGGATCTGCCCATGCAATTTACTGGAGAAACGACGGTCCACTGCTGATATGATTCACACATATTCACACACAAATTTTGATTTGCCATTCTAGCCGCTCTCAATATGAAGCATGGCGTTTAACAGAGATTCGTGTTGAGAATAACGTTGCATTTGCTAAGTTTTGCTAACATTGGGGACCCGAATGTTGGTCAATTGGAGTAAAGGGCAAGAGGCGTCTTCTTGGGTCAACCACAAATAAAGGTTTCTAAGTATGGCTGTTTTTCCCCTTGTGAAAGTTTATTTTGGATCCTTCATGATCATAGGATGTCAAAATCTATGTGTGATTTATCTAACATTATCGAACATATTTAAATAAATATATTAAAAAAAAAAAAAAAACTATATTCAACCCACCTGAAATGTCTCAGGTTCTCTCGTCTGCAAATCGTGAGCAGTTGCGAAACGCCTATGTGTGGTTCGACTGGTTCTCCATCCCGCAGATCGAAGTAAAAAGTGGCGGGAACGACAGCGAGGAAATGAGTTCCCACGTCTTCCTCTCGGTTTCTTGGAACATCTTGAAACAAAATCTTGACCAAAGTCCAGGGTGCTAAGATTACGTAAGGCTAGTTGAGTTCATTGAAAGGCCAAAATGATCGACGAGTTTGGGTATCAACTGGAGATCGCCAACAAAGTATTGCTGGGGTTGAACACTGTTGAACAGTCACATCCTGGGTAACAAGTGAAGAGCAGTGAATGGTTGTTTACCGGCAGCTATAAAATGCTATCCATTCCAACTTGGACAAGTGGAGCACATTATATACATATATATATATATATAGAGAGAGAGAGCCCATTTTTGCGAATAGTGGGGGTGGTTCCTATCCTATATTTCGGCATCTTCGGAAATAACAGCCTAGATATTTGCAGAAACACCAACACCACCGGTGTTCTGAACTCCTGGGTGACTGCTTTTGTCATATCTGGCAAAATCCTGACTTGGGACAGATTCAAAATTCGACTACATAGTTACTGTAGATGTTGTTGTTAGAACCTGTTGGAACACATGTTCTGGTTGGTGGTTTGGAACATGATTTTTATTTGTCCATTCAGTTCGGAATGTCATCATCCCAACTGACGAACTCATATTTTTCAGAGGGGTAGGTCAACCACCAACCAGACATGTTTCTTTTGGGATCTTTTTGATCTTTGAAATCACCAGATTCAACGCTCAACGAATCTTGGAGCAGTCACCTGAGTCACCTCCGCCAGGTTCAATCCATCCCATTCTATGTGGAATCTCTGCAGCGCTGGGCCGGAGATGAATATGGAGATATATATCAGGAAGGCTTCGGTTCGTTTAGGTTCGTTTCGGTTCGTGGAAACCTCAAATAGGGGCGGTTCGGTTCATCAGCAGGCCGGTTCGTTTCGGTTCGCGTGACATGGCGGTTCGGTTCGGTTCGGTTCGGTTCGTGTGACATGGCGGTTCGGTTCGGTTCGGTTCGTGTTGTGTAGTGTTGCAGGACGAGAGGTCTTTGACAGAATGGGTGTGGATGAATAGCAAATAGTAATGTTATGTTGCAGCAGAGGGATTTGGTTTTTGAATGTTTGAAACTGGTGGTGGGGCCGAGTGTTTGCAGCATCTAAGTAAGCAGTGTCCAAAACCACGGTTTTTTGATGACTAAATTGCGTATGCTGTTTCTTGGATGCTGTTTCTTGGATTGGGGATAATGATTATCATCATCAACTATTAGAATTCGTACATCTAACCAGTGTACAGTGAAATTGACAGATCCATTGCCAACGGCATTTTCATTTTGCGAAAATCACTTTCAGCTGTCGAAATCCAGTCGTGGCCGGCAGAGGTTAAATCAGCAGCCAAATGCCATTTTCATATGGCGAAAGTCGTTTTCAGGCATCGAAATTGAGGCAGTGCCTGCAAAACCCAAACATTAGCCAAACATCATTTTCATTGTGCGAAAATCAGTTTCGGAGTTGTTTTGGCAAAAAGTGGAAAACAGTTGTAGTAGCAGTAGTAGTAGTAGTAGGTAGTAGTAGCAGGAGTAGTAGTAGTAGTAGTAGCAGTAGTAGTAGTAGTAGCAGTAGCAGTAGCAGTAGCAGTAGCAGCAATATAAGTAGAATTAGTAATAATAGTAGTAAAGAAGTAATACTAGTTCTAGTAAGACTACGAGTAAGAAAAATAGTAGCCTCTCGTAAGCGGTTCCCCAGCAGGTATGGGTCCCGACCGGGCTTTGCGGAACAGGAACGGGCAGAGAGGCTAGTAATAGAGGTAGCAATATAATATACAACAGTAGGGGTGGTGATAGCAACAGGAAGAGTAATAGTCGCAGCAGTAGTAGTCTAGCCGTACTAGGACGAATACTATTAGATGTTTTCCTTAACTTGATTTTCACTGCGCGAAAACCATTTTCGGAGTTGTTTTGGCAAAAGTTTAAAAAAAAAGTAGTAGTAGTAGTAGTAGTAGCAGGAGTAATAGTAGTAGTAGTAGTAGTAGTAGCAGTAGCAGTTGCAGTACCAGTAGCAGTAGCAGTAGCAGTAGCAGCAATATAAGTAGAATTAGTACTAATAGTAGTAAAGAAGTAATACTAGTTCTAGTAAGACTACGAGTAAGAAAAATAGTAGCCTCTCGTAAGCGGTTCCCCAGCAGGTATGGGTCCCGACCGGGCTTCGCCGGACAGGACCGGGCAGAGAGGCTAGTAATAGAGGTAGCAATATCATATACAACAGTAGGGGTGGTGATAGCAACAGTAATAGTAATAGTAGTAGCAGTAGTAGTCTAGCCGTACTAGGACAAATACTATGAGATGTTTTCCTTAACTTGATTTTCACTGCGCGAAAATCATTTTCGGAGTTGTGTTGGCAAAAAGTGGAAAATAGTTGTAGTAGTAGTAGTAGTAGTAGTAGCAGTAGCAGTAGCAGTAGCAGTAGCAGTAGCAGTAGCAGCAAGATAAGTAGAATTAGTACTAATAGCAGTAAAGAAGTAATACTAGTTCTAGTAAGACTACGAGTAAGAAAAATAGTAGCCTCTCGTAAGCGGTTCCCCAGCAGGTATGGGTCCCGACCGGGCTTCGCCGGACAGGACCGGGCAGAGAGGCTAGTAATAGAGGTAGCAATATAATATACAACAGTAGGGGTGGTGATAGCAACAGTAATCAGTAATAGTAATAGTAGCAGCAGTAGTAGTCTAGCCGTACTAGGACGAATACTATGAGATGTTTTCCTTAACTTGATTTTCACTGCGCGAAAATCATTTTCGGAGTTGTTTTGGCAAAAAGTGGAAGTAGTAGTAGTAGTAGTAGTAGTAGTAGTAGTAGCAGTAGCAGTAGCAGTAGCAGTAGCAGTAGCAGCAAGATAAGTAGAATTAGTAATAATAGTAGTAAAGAAGTAATACTAGTTCTAGTAAGACTACGAGGAAGAAAAATAGTAGCCTCTCGTAAGCGGTTCCCCAGCAGGTATGGGTCCCGACCGGGCTTTGCCGAACAGGAACGGGCAGAGAGGCTAGTAATAGAGGTAGTAATATAATATACAACAGTAGTGCTGGTGATAGCAACAGTAATAGTAATAGCAACAGTTCTTAGTAGCAGTAGTAGCAGCAGTAGCAGTAGTTTCAGTAGTAGCAGTAGTAGCAGTAGTAGCAGCCAGCACTGATCATTTGCAATTCCTGCAGCACTTTGGCAGATTATGTTGCGCAGGAATCCATTCATTACAGTTGATTCCTCTTTCCAATTTGATTTTCAATTCGCGAAAATCATTTTCGGAACCCCCGGAAGCTGACAAAATAACTTTTTTGAGAATGTGGAACCGGTTCGGTTCCATTCGGTTTGCGTAAGAATAATTGGCGGTTCGGTTCGTGCCCATTCGGTTTGCGTAAGAATAATTGGCGGTTCGGTTCGTGCCCGTTCTTAGCCTGCCGGTTCCTGAACGGTTCGGTTCCCGGTTCACGGTTCGTTTCCTAAGCCATACTGTATATATGGATATATGAAATATGTATATAATATATATATATATGGATATGTGGGGTTAGTTTTGGGAAATATGTGGAAATATGTGGAAATATGTGAAATATGTGGAAATGTATTGAAACAACTTGGGAACCCCAATTCCCCCCCCCAAAAAAAAACATCAAAATCCACCACTACATGATGATAATGATTGGTAACGGGTGTATTCCACAAGGATCATCGGAACGGACATGGGGAGAACCATGGAATTATGGGGAGTCTTGAAACTTGGGCACATTCGAGAAGTTCTACATGCGTATCTATTGTGTGTATTTATATTATTTTATATTTATCTAATATGTATGATATAATATTCAAATATATGTAGATAAGATTGCATGACATATAATAGTACACGTGATATAATCATATACAATCTTAATAATATTATAGTATATTAATATGATATATATATATATATATATCTTATTATATTATATTATATATATTATATATATATATATATCATATTATATATATATATCATATTATATTATATTATATATATTATATATATATCATATTATATTATATATATACAATAGAATATTCCACGTATACAATCCTCGCCAGACTCGAAGAGTCAATGAAAACTTTAAGTGCCTTTTTTGCCAAGGATTCGTGCAAGCTCTTCCTCGCTTTGGTGCCCACACTTCCGCACAACGATGCCTGGCAGCAGAGTCAGCCAGAAATGATGGAAGTCCCAGCCATGATGGAAATCCCAGGACTAAGTCGCTAAGAATGCCATAAATGATGTCAGTGGATTTAGATATTGGCTAGAAAGAAGAACCAGAAATGGCTAGAAATGATGGAACTCATTTAGCTGAAGAAAAAAAACGCGACGGTCATTCTGGTCATCGTTTGCCATGATCCGGCTGCGGGGCTTCCAACCCAACACTCATCAAGCCATCTGTGCATTCACGTTGACAACAACTTTATTCGTTGACAGCCAAGGATTTTGAAGATGTTTCATGCAACTATTGCACCTGGCTGGACAGGCATCGGTTGTCACGGTTTTTGTTTGGGATGTTTTCGGACAGTTCAAGCAAACCAGAGAGAGGGTTGACGTTTCAAATGCACAAGGTACAGTTAGAAAACCAATACATCCAATAATAAACCACCCACATGGTTTGATTGTTTTACACCACCCATTTATGGTAATTTGGGGATGGTTAATATCTATACTACTTATTGCACCTGCCCAGGGGTTGGTGTCGTCCAGAGATTTGGTGCAATTTGTTTCTTCGGCTGCACTGCGTGTCCGGCAACATGGCCTGGGTGATAGTCAAGTTAAAGTAGTTTAAAGATATTTAAAGATGTTTAAAGCATGTTAAAGCAATCATTTTAAATGTTGTTTTGAAGATGTTCTTCATAGATGTTCAGCCATTTCAGAACGGCTTATGAAAAAAAATATTTAAGGTTTCCAGCCAATACTTTAAGTATATTAATATTATATACATACATATTAACTTGTCCCTAAACTGCTGGGAAACGACCACACGAACCAGATCGGCTGTCGTGGATCCAGCGATCCGAATCCATGGCAGTTCGAGAGTTCCGAAAATAGGACTGGTTCAAAGAAAAGCCATGGTTTATACCATCATAAAAGTTATGAACCGTCATGGTTTGCTTATAATGGTAGGTTGGTATACCATCATAAGCCATGGTTTATACCATCATAAAAGGACTGGTTGCCTATTTTTGGTGACAGACTTTGTGGTTCCAAAGTCCACTTGTCCACTTGAGGGCTGGGGCCGGGTTGACCGGTCACCCGTGATCACCAACAGATGCGTTGTCCAACCAGTACTGTACCGAAAGCCCCTGTTGGTTCATGTCTAAAGCCCCTTGTACATAGTGCCAGATAGATTAGATAGGCTAGATCGATTTGATAGGTTAGATAGGTCAGATAGATTAGACATAGTAGATAGATGGATGGATCGATACATTAGATAGACTCGATAGCTTGGACAGCTCAAATAGATGGATGGATCCATGGATTAGATAGCTTAGATCATAGACATCCTTTTCCTACTGGCTGGTTGATGAATGTAATAGAAGGGTTAACCTTCTCTACAACCAATGGTAAGTGATGATAAAGGGTATACCAGACCGGCCCCTCTATTTTTCCCAATAAGACATTGTTGGATAGCCAGTATAGCTTGGGTAGATGGATTGATCGATAAGATTACATAGCTTGGATAGCTTGGATAGCTTAGATGGATTAGATAGGTGGGTTAAATAGGTGGGTTAGATAGCTTAGAAAGATGGATGGTATGGACGGGTGAATAGATTAGATAGATTAGGTAGCGTAGATAGCTTAGATAGATGGATGGATCGATAGATAGGTCGGATAGCTATCATAGATTAGATAGATTTGATCTGGGTAAATTATACCGACCTCGCTGCGACCTCACTCGAAGTTTGATTAAATAGTATGGGGCCGGGTTGACTATCCCAAAATAGCCTTATTTCAGGTCAGTGAATTAGTATAGTTTATCTAGACTAGATTATATAGATGGATTTTTAGATAGATTATAGTGTTATATTTTTTATCTGCGAGAATCTCTATCATCCTGCCATTCGCCCTTGGCAGAAGTTGAACCGGGCACTGCTCACCCTCAGGTTGTCGCACAATCGTGAAGCACCGATGATCTTAGCTCTTTCGTCTGAAGCCGCGTATAGGGCGGTGCTGTTGGGTTAGGGTGAACCTGGGGCCCCATTGGTGGAGGCCGGTGGAGGAGAATATTCCTTGGTGCTGGACAATCTTGGATGTTCAAAGAAACATGTTTCCAACTGACGAACCTTGGACAAAATAAAGCAAGAGTCGATTCCAAGAGGTATAAGAGGTGATAATCATGATAATCTAGTTTGCAAGTTGCTCGAGGTATTGGATGAGATGTAAACTTGGGAGGCATAATTGGTCGATAGGGTGAAGATGTTGGGTTCCAATCCTCTGCAGAAATGATTGCCCTCGATCTCACACAAAATCAGGCTCATAGTTCATAATGTTAATAGTTGGTAAATGTGAAAATGTTCATGGCCTTCAAAATGTTGGTATAGTTACACTTCTACAAGGATTGGGTAGGACATTGGTCCCTTTCATTTAGGTTCAAGTTATCCCAGTTGGCTGTCGCAGGCACGAAGACTTCCATGAACCTGGAATCACAACCAACCAACCATTATTTGGGGACCTCGCATTTTCATGATACATCATCGATGTTCACTAAATAGGGGTAATCATCAACTGAATGTCCATTGAACATATTATGATGATTATAGGGGTATGTCACATGTCCAATCATAAACTGAAATCGGGGAAGGCCTATTGACCATGTTTATCAATGTTATCGACGAACCATCTATTAGCTATTGATCACCAAGATTACCGTGATATACTGTGACTGCTATTTTCACTATTCATCAATCATCATCAATCAATAAGCATTTGGTGGTCAGCAATTCAATAGTTAACCATTATATTAGATGCTCACCGAGTGTTAAAGCACGATTTAAAATATTTTAAAATAATTATAGAACTCTTAAATGTCATCTATAAAATTACAGATTTAATAGATGTTAGTAGTAATAGTCAACTATTGTGATTAATAGTCCGTCATTAACCATTTTTATTAATCATTATTTACATTAATCATTATTAATAGTGACTATCTAATTTTTAACCATTATGTTCATAGTCATTATTAACTCTTAACATTAACATTAATATTTGCCTTGGTGGACCGAGGTTCGCGACGCCGACCAAGCCGAGTTTGCCATGCCCATCCATTGGGTCCATTCCAGCGCTCAGGAGCCTCGAAATCCCCTGGAACTGGGAAAAATGTGGAACAACCTATGGCAAAAATGTGGAAAATGTTGAAAAAATGTGGAAAATGTTGAAAAAAATGTGGAAAATGTGGAAAAAAATGAGAACATGTGGAAAAAATGAGAACAGCCTATGGCAAAATGGAGAAATGAAGCAGAAACTTGGAGAAAAGAAAACAGAAAAACCGCTGGCTAAAATGGACGAGTGAAACATAAAAACAAAAAAACACAGAAACAAGCTGGAAAGTTGAAAAATGAAGCATCAACCCCCAAAAATAGGTGCCTCTGAAAATGGGATATGCCGATATACCCCAAAAATTGAATGGGGAAGAAGATGATGATGATGATGATGATGATGATTAAATTGGAATTGGGGAGTACCCTATTTTCAGACAAACCCAGAAACGGAACAAGTTGCGGGTTCCAGTGGGAAGATCATCTTCCAATTCCCCGTGACTGTTGGAATATCTTGAGGGTTCCATGTGACTTTTCAGGGGTGGAACAGCCTGCAAATCCACAGCAATGCTGAGAAAGCCACCGGAAACCACCACAGGAGGGAAACTTCGCCGTGGAATCAGATCGTGAGAAGGTGGCGCAAGTGACTGGGTCTGCGAAATCACCAGGATCTACCAGAGTCTACCAGGAATGGTGGGTTGACCACCAGAAATGGGGATTCAACCAACCAAAAATCGGGATGAGTTTGATATTGACTGAGAGAAATCTCCATTTTGAAGGGCTGAAACATCACCAAAATTGGTGGTGATTCAGCAGTGAATCTCCCCCAGTGGACTTTCTGTGTGTAGAGTTCTGTATATCTCCTCCTCAGAGTTGATGTCGATAATATCATCGAGGCTTCGCAACTGAGTGGATGAAAATGGATGGGATATCACTTCAGAATATCACAAAGCATCACGCACTGTGGTCTATATAGTCTATACTTATGGACAAGTAGCATCATAAACTCCGGAGCCAACGGTGGGGGGCTAGGCTGTCAGGTCTCTAGTTCCAAGAGTGCTGGTTTCAGCTTGGGGCCAATAAAGGCAGCATTTGTATAGAATTGTAGGAAGCCAAGGAAAACCTTGACATAATACATGGATGACATGGATGGTAAAAAAAAGGATAACGTACGACGTGTGTTTTGCTGTAAATGTGTCCCTGCCCCAATCAGCCGGCTCTGAGGTCATGAGAACTGTCCCTGGGATGGTCGAAGGATGTCGAAGGGTCCTGCACAGAAATCGTTTGTGTCGGTTTGGGGGATTGAAACGTATTGAAACCTAGTTGAGTTGATGGCTTCCTGTTCCATCTCCGATAAGCCCTGGTGTGGAGTCTCAGGATTGAATCTGAAAGCACGAAGCCGAAAAAATAAAGCACTGATTCCTACAAGATGGGTACGTATCTCAATAACAGGGCAAGGATCTCGGAGATATCACAACAAGATGGGTGCTAAGATTTTTCAGCGACGGCTTTCGTTCGGAATGTAGGACCCCAGTGGCACCCCATCCCCATCCATATCCCGGGCCTGAGGCCTTTAGATCTAAGTTGGCAAGTCTGAAGGGTAACCGCTCCTTGGACAAGACAATGGGGACTGGAGTGAGTTGTTTACGAAAAAGCTTGGCGTCTAGGAATGCAAAGGACCGAAATTTCCACAGTGAAAAGGATACATGCAGCTCATCTTACAGACTGTTTTGGTACAATCCAAGGTAGTACTTGCAGTGGGTATGGACATCCTGCATGATGTGAGGTAGCGTGCTGGTTTTCAGTCAAAAGATCCAGGATATTATCTGGAATGGTTGGTTCACCCTTTGGCCGGTTTGTTCAGTGCTGATTTGAAAATGGTTACTGTATCCCACGATACTCCTGCCCCATCTTCCTTATCGCCAATTAACACGTCAAGCAAGGTGGGTGGCAGGTGGCCATCCTCAAATCTCAAATCAATTACTGACATTGTTTGAGATGTTTAAGGATGATCTTGGAAGTCAGCAATGAAGTAGTATATAGCTAGAAAAGTTGCTTGTAACCCCTTGTTACTGGTTATATTTCATTAGTTTTACATAGTGTTACGTTTGTGGGTCTTTGGACCTAGGCTTGAATGATCTTGAATGCCTATATTTGATTAGATTATTCAATACTCATTTCTGATGTTCAAATACCAATGTTTGATGGGTAAGTCATACTATTCGTAGTAGCCTCTGGTATTTTTAACATAGCTATTGAACATGTCCATTGATAATTGATGTACATTGATTTACCTCTTAATATCATGGTAAATGGTCCCTAGCTTTTTCTATGTCGTTACCAGAGGGTAAATCCCACAAGGCCCCGTCCAAGGCGAGCAAGTGGACCTCTTCCGATATCTGGCGGCGGTTCAGTACCGTTTGCTGCAGCTGCCTCGCCCCAGCACCTTGGTACCGGATGGGCCAGGCTTTTGACTCATAGCCAAATAGTGTCAGTGCCAAATGTGCATGATGTATATAAATGTATGATAATGATTCAATAATGATTGATAATGTATGTAAATGTCAAATAATCTAGCTATATCACACCTAGTGCGTTTGTATTTACAGCTAGCAAAGGGCAGATACCAATTATAGATATGAAACAAATATTCTTCAGAGCTTTTTTAGGATTTCGAGGTGCAGGTCTTGTCGGACGGCCGGTTTCCATACTGTATTCCTTGAGTCGCCCGATGACCTGATACGATTTTTCCAATGTGGGTTGGTGTGAATTCATAGTTCAGCGATTTCTCCACGCAAAAAAAAAAACAGAAGCTTGGGCTTACCGAAGTGGGAATGGCCACAGCCTTATTCCTACAAATCATTTTTGGGGATGATCGACATCCAGCCATGAACTCATTTGGTGTAAGTTCCACAGGAAAACCGACAAATGCCCAAACGGCCACTTTTGGGCGTGTCTCAAACTTGGCGACGCCTCAATAATCTCTAATGTATGAGCATGAAATGTGGAAAATGAAGGTTTTAAGCCCTTGACTCTAGGGTTCCCAAATGCAAAATTGTTTAACCACTAAAAGCGACCATTTGTGTGTTCCATTGATACTCCATGTTGTGTTGCCATGCTAAAAAGGAAACATGTCTATCCCAGACTTGGTTTTAAGGGAGAAATCTACGGGGAAAAACATGAAAAACTGAAATGTCCCTTACATCAATCCCGCAAATGTCCTGGTTCATCATCATTTTTCCCATTCACATTGCTATTTTGGAGGGAGCATGGCCCGTTTTCAGACGCACCCATTTGCCAATCAGGTTGGTTACATATCCCAGCATGGACGATTTTCCCAGCTGTCACCTATGATATTCCAACGATCTCCCCAGTATACCCTTGATATCCATATTACATTACATCCATATGATATTCCATTGATGGTTTCTTTCATACCCATTAGCCATCAAATATCCCGAGGATATCCCATTGGATCCCAATATGATATCCCTTCTTGATGATCAATTCCCAACGTTGGAAAACACACAAAAAAAAAAAACGACAATCTATCCCATCTCATTCTTCTGATTGATTGAGTTCGATGATTTCCCAGGCACTGTTGATTACGTCCTTTGTATTGCATTCACATTAAAGATCCCCAGTATATCCCCACTTGTAATATGCTGTCAGATATGATATTCATTTATAGTCCATCATGAAGTATACCCATTATATCATTGATATTCCACAATTGTTGATTATATATATATGCATATATGTCCCCAGAATATCCCTTGACACATCCCCATTATATCACCATTGTGTTTCGAACAAAAAATCCCATCCTCATTATATAATTATCCACATATCCCCATGCAAATCGTTGCTTCAAGTTACCCTCCGGTGATTTAACATAGCTATGGAAGAAATTGGTTGAAGTTGGCCTGCAACATGGCCCATGGGGTTCGATGATTTACCCATAGAAAATTGTGATATGCCGCAGCTATTCTAAATCACCGGAGGGTAAATTCCCATTCAAATCGCCAGTTGTTGATGGTTAAACCACAATATTTTCCATGAAATTCCCGTGAAATTCCCATGAATTTCCCATGAAATTCCCATGAAATCCCTAGTTGTTGGTGCTTAAACCATGTTAAACCCATCATATCTACCGGTGATGGATGATTTTCCAGGCCTGTCGTTGGAGTCCTTCGTGGATCACTTCGGATTCGAGAAGCCCGAGCTCACCGCCTCACAGGGCATGGTGCCTCTGGCCTGCGCGGTGCTCTCGGAGGATTTGGAGAGCCTTGGTGCAAAAATTATGGTTATAATGGTTGATAATTTTTGGTAACCAGCATATATAATGGTTCATGATTAAGAATGATTGATGGTTGATGATTATTTTAATGGTATATTTGATTCTATCTTATGATACATATTTGATTGTATAATGATTATATCTGAATATGGTCAACGATATCATGATTATGGTTCTCAACCAGGATATGATATGATTATCAACCAGGATTGATCATTATGATAATTACAATATGATCATCATCATGGTTATCATGATTATCATCAACCAGGATATGACCATTGATTGATCATTGAGATGATTGATGGTCAACCAGGATATGATATGATTATCATTATGGTTCATGATTCACAATAATTGATCATACTACTATTGGGTTAAAACAATGCCATAAACCACCAATTTGGGAATGGTTTATAGAACCTATTTAATTATTTATGGTGATTTGGGGGATTGTTTATTATTGTTTTACCCACATTAATAGATTGATCATCAACCAACCAGGATATGATATCACCACCCCTTTAGGCTAATTGCAAGCAGGGGGGCGTTCCAAAAATGTAGATTGCAATTTTGCCCCCTCGGAATTTGACCGCAGGGATCATGCTAATTGCAAGCGTGGACCCCCCCAACGTCAGAAGCCGAAGCCTAAAGTTTTTACATTTAGAGAGGGGGGGGGATGAAAAATAAAGGCACGTAAGAGACCGGTCACCCCGTACCCCCCCCCGAACCCCCCCGAACCTACCCCCTTCGGACATTATGGAAGGGGGGGGGAGGGAGGTAACAATTGTAAAATGTCTGACGAATTGTCCGAAAACAGTCTCCAAGAAGTTTGCAGATGTTTGTAATCAACCTACACCAAAGGTCCATATTTCCTTGCAGAAACAGCTCAAAGTAGATGATAAAATCAAGATAAATCCATGTAACCATCCTACATCTAAGGTCCTTATTCACTTTGAAATTTGATGGGGTACATTTGAGGTCCATTTGAGGTACATTTGAGATATATTTGAGATCATTTAGGTGCAGAAATGGCTCACTTTTTTTTGATATGACTTGGCTCTGAAAAGCAAAGCCAGATTCTTTGCCTCAATTTCAAGTAAGCATCCATTTACAAGTGGTTTTCTTATATACACTGCAAAGCAGTGAAATGATGGATCTACCATGCATTTCCTGGTTCTGCAGGGGTTGAAGCTTACAGTCAAACAGGATTACTCTCCAACCTACATTTTCCCTTTTCCAAAATCCAGTAGCATACCGATCCGATATTTTCACCTTTTTTTTGCACCTTTCTGCGACATATCCTCAGGACCTTTTCAAAGATCCCGAAATTCTTTGCTTCCCTTCCTTTCTTACATCTTTCGGGTTCCTTACCTCCTATGTGACGCTTCTGTATTGTCTTCCCGTCTCGTTTATTCTGTCAAGTTTTTGGAGGGGACTGTTGTGAACCTGTTTCTGCAAGTAAATGTGGACCTTAGGTGTAGGATGGTTACATGGGTTTATCTTGATGTTCTCATCTATTTTGAGCTGTTTCTGCAAGTAAATATGGACCTTAGGTGTAGGATTGTTACATGGTTTTATCTTGATGTTCTCATCTATTTTGAGCTGTTTCTGCAAGTAAATTTGCACCTTAGGTGTAGGATGGTTACATGGTTTTATCTTGTTTTTATCATCTACTTTGAAGTGTTTCTGCAAGTAAATGTGGACCTTAGGTGTAGGATGGTTACACGGGTTTATCTTGATGTTCTCATCTATTTTAAGCTGTTTTCTGCAAGTAAATATGGACCTTAGGTGTAGGATGGTTACATGGTTTTATCTTGTTTTTATCATCTACTTTGAAGTGTTTCTGCAAGTAAATGTGGACCTTAGGTGTAGGATGGTTACACGGGTTTATCTTGATGTTCTCATCTATTTTAAGCTGTTTCTGCAAGTAAATATGGACCTTAGGTGTAGGATGGTTACATGTATTTATCTTGATTTTATCTTCTATGTTTTTTTTTTGAGCTGTTTCTGCAAGTAAATATGGACCTCAGGCATATGATGATTACATGATTTTTACACCTGTGCTGAATTAATTTCTCATTGGCAGGAGGCAAATTTGAAGACCTCCAACATCTATTTTTACATTTATTGAATTTCAAGGATTTTCCAATAATTTGCAAGGAATAATATACCTTCTATAAATCTATATTACATGTGTAAATGATGAAAAAGTGTAGAATTCATTGAAAATAACAGGCAATTGAGGCCCTCTAGGGATACAGATTGCAATTATGATTTTATGCAATTCTGCAGCTATTTGCAGACCTCCACACTATTGTTCTTGCATTTTTTCCATGTTCTTACATTTGTTTCCGTAAAATGCAACTTGCAATATTGGACGCCCCCCCTGGAAAATAATTGCAAGTCGGTAAAACGTGGGGGTACATAATTGCAATCTACGAACCTATCAAAATGCAATCTTGCGATAAAGACGATGAACAAAAAAAAAATGTAAGCATACATTTTCATAGGTCCCCCCCCCAAAACAACGTCTTATTGCAAGCTTGCATTTTGAGCGTCCCCCCTCCTTAAAAGGGTGGTGATGATATGATAATTATCATTATGGTTCATGATTAAGAATGATTGATCATACTAAAATGTTGTTTTGACCCTCTGGTAATTTAACAGTTTGCTATTGAAAATGGCCCATTTATAGTTTATTTACCTATTAAAGATGGTGATTGTCCGTAGTTATGTTAGTTTACCAGAGGGTAATTCATGGGAGCTTCATGGGGATAAATATGTCAAACGACAGGTTAGGGGGACGGAAGCAAGAACTTAGGGAATATGAATGTTGTAAGGGGTATATTTAATGATGGTATATATATAAGAAGGATATATGTCGGGATATAGTTGGGGATGGACGGGGATCGAAAGCGAAGTATAGCGAAGTGATCCAAGAAAGACTCCAACAACAAGCCTGGGAAATGATCTATGCATGGGGATTCAATGGGGATGTGAATACAAAGGGATGTACTCAACAGTAATTATTAATTATGTTGGTTTGTCCATGATGCCATGTATCATGGGAAATTTAAACAGACATAAAGTTATGGGGTAGAACACCAACCATGTGGCAGGGCTGGGCCCCCAAGTTATGGCCACGTTCATAGGTGACAAACCAATGAATTTGGGTAAATTTGAGCACAACATGGATAGAAGGGTCTGAAACTAGAAATATCTGGAATTTATATGAATGTTTGAAAGTTCATCTACAACATGCTGGAAGAGCTACGCTATTCACAATCATATTCTATCTATATAATTCTATATATTCAGTCGCTTGTAGGTTGTTGTTCAATGATATTTAATGTCCCAATCAGAAATTCACCATTTTCGATCCATTCAGAAAATTCAGCAACGCAAGTCTGAGGGGTCCAAGAGTCGGACCATTTCTATCATGGGGATGACCAGGATGACCAAAACAAGCCAGCTCCGACTTTATGCATTTGGACTGGCTAATGGTTTTGTGCCAATCCGTACAAATCATTGATCCAAGCGCTTTGAAGTAGCTTGTAATATGGTGTAATCCAAAAACATCTAGAGATATATCGAGGGATCTCTAGCTAATCATGTGCAAATCGCCACAAACATCATGAAATATCATGAACCTTGAAACATTATAAAATATTATAAACATTGAGGAAAATTCTGGGATCGGCAGCTAGGATGGTGGAGCGATTGGTGACCCAGTACAGCGCCCAGTTGGACGTGCGTTTGCCGGGCATCGCAGAGGTGGGACTGACCCGTGGCCGAGACTTGGCGTCAGCTCGTCAGCGGGGATCGTAGGGGATCCTTAAATTTCAGATGGGATTTTTAGTCTGAGGACTTCGTTGTTTTTCGACTTCATTACTTCATTCTTTGTTCACTTTTTGTTCCGTAGTTCATTTTGGATAGCTCCAAAATTCATCAAAATTCACTCCAGGGGATCTAGATGTGGTTCGGGAAACGGGAAACATCCTCCCAGTTCAGTGGCGAGGAACGCCCTTGCACTTGGCGGCCATGACGGGTGGCCCCATGGTAAGACAACTCTTGCAGCTTCGGGCAGATCCAAATGGATGTAACACCGCGCCCTGGTTCCCGCTGGGATGGAAGCAAATTGGGGACGGATCCAAGAAATCTTAAGAAATTGGGGGATATCAATTGGCGTTGTACTTCTTTATGGATAATGATGGATGATTGTGGATGATTTTGGATTATGGACGATTATTGATTATGGAATATTCTGGATGATTACGGTTTGTTTCCACCTGGATTCAGACATCATTTCAGATTCGAACAAAGCACATAAACCAACAGGGATTAGGAAATAGCCTACCCTCTAAAAAAATCAGCCAGGCTGGTTTGGATTTGTTGACATACCAGCCCAGAAGCATTGCTTGGGCAGGCTGGACAAGGCTGCCCAAAACATCCCAACTGCCAACTCCAGACTACTGTAGCTGGCCACAGCCATGGAGTGCTAGGCAATCTGTCGGAAAGGCATCTCTTCCCCACTGGAAATTCTGGGATACATGTGCCCTCCCAAAGTTCAAACATGCCATGCGCGTCCGTACCACACCTTTGGACCCCCAAGTCACCTGCCATTTGCCAGCACTTGGTTTCAGGAGAGTCTTAGAATTCCTTGACCGGAAAATTGATAATTCACCGACACTTCTTTTAGTGAATGGGCTGAATGGTTCGAAGTGCCATAATCAGAGGGAGGTGTTTCTCCCAGGTCATTGCCATCCACGTATCGTCCCAGGTTGGCATGTCTGCTCTTGGCTACTCAAGGAGTTGTGAAGCTGTCGAGGCATGGTGACACTTTAAGCGTTGTTTGATCTCCTGGAAAGCAGAAACTGCACCATACTAGTCCAATGACTGGATTATGGGAGGCCACAGTGCCTGACTGTTTCGCGCGAACCATCATGACTCTACTGAAGCAACTGAGTAACTGGGTGGGGCGATCTGTGGAGGAACCGAACTTTCAACATCTTTCAACATCTTTCAACCATTTCGAGCCTCTCAGTCCGATGGTCCGGGGTTCCAGGGCAGATCCCTGGCGGCCAGGTCTTTCTTGAACAGCAGGCAGATGTGAACTACACGGCTCCTCCGGGTGGATTGACCCCGTTGGCCGTGGCCTCTTTGTTTCTTGGGCCAAAAGATGTCGTTCGTGGATCGCCCACTGCTTCATCCAAGATCCATCATGGCTTTGTCATGGTTCTGAAAATAGGGGATACGATACCCAAAAATGACCATTTTATGAGATTTTATGTCAGGGACCCAGGGAAAATGACATTTTAATCTATTGGAATTGGGGGTACAGTACCCCAAGTTCAGACAAACGCATATGAGTATTCGCTTGTGATTCTGCACGGTCCTTTTTGGCTACTTGACAAGGCTATATACGAAGGCGGAGAATTCCTCAATTCCCCCCAAGCACAGAAGCTTTTCAAGGTTTGGTCATTGGGTTCCATGTCATGGTTGCCAGTGCCCTCGGGCTGAATTTCCAGCCCAATGGGCCCATGATGGCCCATGTGCAGTATCAGCTGTGGATTGAAAACTACCAATGGCTTTGACTTTGGATGACATTGCCATCATTCCCAGGGAATTTGGAAGGGGTTCAGTTTCCGATGAACTTATCAGTGTTTTTTGCCATCCAAAACTATGGTGTTTTTTGAGTACTCTGAGTATTACTCTGTGGTGTTTTTTGCCATCCAAAACCACCAGATGATCTCCCCAGATGTTGCTGCAAAACACCACCAATTAACACTGTATTTCTGTTGATTGTTTATCCCCACATCGTCCTGTTGCAGGAGGGTCAAATGCAACCAAGTACCAACAAGTATACCCTCTGGTAATTTAACAGTTTGCTATTGAAAATGGTCATTTATAGTGGATTTACCCATTATATAAACATGGTGATTTTCCATAGTTACGTTAAATTACCAGAGGGTAAGTATCAATATGGGGGAAGTATTGGGAAGTTCAATCCACCCATTGCCACATACAAAATGGGTGGATTGTGAGAAATCCCACACATCCTGAGGTGTTCCTTCATGAAAATTTCCCCAAAACTGGGATCCTGGAAAGTAGCCATCAGCACAAATCCAGCGTCTTGCCGATTTCCAGGATCGTTCGCTTAATCCATTGCCGTTTTAACATGTTAACTCTCAAACCTTGCTGGCCTGGTGGATTGTTGACCCAATTTTCACTTCGTAAAAGGGAACAGAAAGTCAGGGAAATTGGGTTGGTCCGACAATGGAGCTATATCCCCAAGAGAATCGCCATTCAAACATGTAGAAAATATATAAAAATCGTGTTTTTTCCAAGCAATTCTTTGGTGGTTTTTGGCTACTGAAAATCGCGTTTTTGCGAAGGAAAATCCTGGCAAATCATCGAAGGTTGCATAGGTCATGTTCATCCATTTTCCATATTTTAAATAACCTAAATCCCCAAGAAAAATCCCATCAAAGCCCATGAAATTCCATAAAATCCCCATGAAATCCCACTAAATCCCCATTAAATCCCCATTAAATCCCCACTAAATCCCCATTAAAATCCCAAGTCCATGAAATCCCCATGAAATTCCCAATAATTTCCAGTAGTTCCAGCTCCACTGCAGGTTTTGCGCCCCAACCCCCGTGGTCCAGCTGCTAATCCGTCGCCGTGCGGACGTGAACCACCGGGGCTATGGCGGTGCGGCGGCACCCCTGACGTGTTTGGCCGTGCCGGCCGACGGAGCCTTGGAAGCCATGGACAGCTGGGAGCCGGTTGATCTTGTGCTTCTGATGGTGAAATGGGGGAGTTCATGGGATATTATGGAAAATCATTATATTACATTATATTATATATATATATTATATTATATTATATTATATTATATTATATTATATTATATTATATTATATTATATTATATTATATTATATTATATTATATATATATTATATTATATATTATATATATTATATTATATTATATTATATTATATTATATTATATTATATTATATATTATATTATATATTATATATATATATTATATTATATATATATCGGAAAATCATAAGATTTGAGTGTGTTTGGATTTGAGTGATATACCATGAAAATTGTGCCTTTGTAGGAAAAAGTGTGGTGAAGAAATGGATTCAGAGTACCCTATTTGCAGACAACACCATGTTCTATCGGTTTTTGTGTCCTGACTGGTTTGGTGAGCGGACAGTGAGGACAGTTAGGATTGAAGCTGATGATATGAAGCTGTGTTTTTGTTGGTTCTAGACTGTTCCAATATTGGGAATCCATATCAACCAACATCAACCACCCAGAAAACCTAATGATGACCCCTCCATGTCCGACCCCAAAACCGTGAACCTAGGATTTGGGGTGTTTAAAGGGGGAAAGAATTACAGGGTTTCAAACTGGTGACATGTAGAACGATTGAAGGCCAAGTATTTGGGCACAGGCCTTGTTTGGGGCCTAGTTTGAAACGCTGGCAAATGTATGCAAATGTATGCAAATGTACGCAAATGTATGCAAATGTACCATTTGAATTTGACCACACCACCTTGAGTTTTTTAGATTTTAGATGATTGTTGAAGATTATCCACCCAACACATCCCAACATAGTAGTAGTTTTCTCTTCGATTTGATTTTGGGCTATAGTGCCAGTCAATGTCGAGACGTGCAGCCGATCTTCAACGAGATAGCCCAGCCTGACATGGAGGAAGAAACATGTCCAGCCATGTAATGACTGACAGAAACTACTTTGGACAGATACTGTAGGTAGAAGTAAGGAGCAGTTAGATGTAAGTAGACACTGACAGTTACTGTAGATAAGTTCCATCTGATTCTACAACCTCTTGCACTTCTGCTGCGTCAGGTAATCCATGTCTGGCAGAACAGGTGAGATGCCTCGTGGCCGGCAGAGCGGACGTGAATTTGTGTGGTGACTTGGCTCGTAGAAGGATGTGCCGGATGCGCTATCCGTCACAAGTGCCCTGTTACAGGATGAACCTTCCACCACTGGGAAGACGAGACGCGATTCAGCTGGCTACTGTACCTGTAACGATTAGAGATTTCCGGATGGGAGCCAGACCCAAAAATCGTCCATCACCAGCCCAGCAGTTTGTGTCGTTTCTGGCGATCGAGGAGAGGTTGTAACAAGTTGTTTTGAGGGAAGTGTGTTTTTATGTCCTGCAATTATGTAATACATGTAATACATATACAAAATTATACAAATATAATCAAATAATATCAAATATAATACTGTATATAGCACATATGATCATAGCATATGTCGTATTGATCAATCAATCAACCCCTTGCTCATTCATGCCTGTGTTTATCTATGTTACATATCTAAAAAAAACTTGCATATATACTTATATATATATTATACATATATGTATATGTACGTAATTATAGCTAATTATACTGTAGTAACCCCCGAAGCGATAGAAAAGTTGTTTCACTATTTTGGATTCGCATTTGACTTGTCTATCATTTGTTTGATGTACTATATCTATATATTTATATGTTTACGGGATAATTTATGTATATTCATTTTTAGATAGAAAGTCCTGTAAATATATATATAGAAAGAGATAGTCTATATGCAATGTGGGAAACCCAGTGATAAATCTATCATTTGGAGATGGTTCAAAAGCACCCATCAAAATGGTGATGGCTTGGGGATGGTTTATGGCAGTGGCTTTACCACATTATTCACTATCTAATGTTGGTAAAGCAAAGATAAACCACCCAAATTTTTGGTGGTTCATACAACCCAATAAAAATGGCAAAATTCGGGATGGTTTACTCATTGGATTTGTTTTTGTTGGGACATTTTACAGCTTTTGCCCTCTACTTGATTGGAGAAAACCATTGTTTGCAGATGTTCGTAGAATTTTCCATGGATTTTCCCAAAATCCCAGAGATTTACGGTGATTTCCTATGGTTTTACGGCATGGGTCCAGTATCCCATGGCCGACCTCGACAAAAAATGTCGTTCCTTCAGCTGGTGAGGTGAGCCAACCGGAGCCTTGCGAGTCTTTGAGCTCGCTTGCCGCGTGACCCGGCGAAAGAAACCTTTGGGACGGTTGACTCGGCGAAGATGTTGGAAGAACTATGGTAGATATTAATTAGATGATAATAGTATCCTCATGACTTGAGTTTTAAGTTGGAAAGGATTGAAAGATGTTGGAAGATTTGGAAGGGTAGCCTCTGGTAATTTGTTCCATAACTAGGGAAGTTGTCCATGTCTATTGGATTTTTTAGCTGTTAAGACTGATGATTGTCCATCGCAGTGTTAGGTTTTGGAAGGCAACTCTCAAAAACAGATCTGCGAGACGTGGCAATGGAATGCAGAAAATCTGTAGAAATCGCAGAGGTTGTTTTGAAACACTACACATATTATGTACACATGGTGGAATATTGGTGGGAGTATGCTTGTGGTGGTATCCCAGACATTCGTTTCAGGGAAACTCACCAGAAACACATTGGTTTTTTTTCACGGAATCCCCCCTAATATCCCCTGGTTGTCCCCAAGTACATCTGCCATCAAAACTGGAATGAAAGAAGATCCACAGTCAGCATGATGGTATTGATGGTTATTGGTGATTAATGATTATATAATTGAATATAATTGATGATTAATCAGTATAATTGTCCCCATATCCTGCAACGTGCCTGGCATTTGATGATCTTGACTTCCCATATCAGTGATGCTGGACTCCCCTCCATTGTTTTTCCATATTGTGCCACGCGTCAAATCTTTAGTTATTAATACCCATGTTGGGGGCTGGTCATCAATCCATCAACAAGGATTAGTCTCCCCATGTTTTTTGCGGATTCCCATGAAATGGATTGAAATGGGATGATTGAAATGCCACTTTCCCCATTCATCTCATTCTTGGCCATGGCACATCATAATATAGGCAACTTCAGAAACCTAGGCAACTTCGTGCATCAGAACGCAGTCCTCCTTGGAAAGGATTTTTGCTGAAATCAGTGCCCCAGCCTGGGAGGGGCTTGAGTTGCGCACAGGAGCTTCCCAGTCCAGTACACCTGTTGCGCATGAATGGATCCCATTTCTTGGGTGTATCCCATCTACCAAGAAAAAATGACAATACTTAAGCTGAAATTTCCAGCAGTAGATATTAGTTGGTACTATGCCTGTTTTCGTTGGTTTGATGTTTTTTGGAGCTTCCAAAAAACATGTTGCTGGCCTCTGACATACCAGAAACAAAAGAATTAAATCCCCATTGACTAAAGATATACAAAGTAACCCCCCATTGAGTTCTAGATAATTGTTCAGATAATTATAGATATATGTGTAAGTATGTATATATATATATAGAATATGAGAATCTTATAAGTTATATATATATACATGATGAGACTAATCCACATGCATTTCGCATCCTAGCTCCCAGGTACCACACCTTTGGGTTTCGCCTGCCTCCTTGGCCGTGAGCCTTTGGTGCAGCTGCTGCTGGAACAAAGGGCAGACCCGGAGATCCGCAACAACCGCGGGCACGCGGCCGCTGGGGCTGCAGGGAAGCCATGAGTTCACCATATGGCCCCCGAAGAAGCTAAGGTGGTAAGCCAAATGTGGATGTGACTTTCAAAGATATCATATGGGAATATATGGGTAACCCATGGTAACCCCATACAAATGGATCGGTTGACATTTTGATGGATGATTTTCCAGGCATTCAATCCAGCTCACCAGACGTAGACCCAACCCTGTGAAGGCGCGGTGCAGGCCATGTTGATGGGAGGTCTATTTCTCAATGGATTGGTTTGTTCGGGAAAATCGAAACCGGGAATCATGGATTTTCTATTGAGTTTTTGGGGGGTCTTATAATTTGTCCCGTGAAAACCAACCAATTGAATTCACTACGAAGCAATATTTGATATGGGGGGTTCCTAAAATGAGGGATCCAAAGTCACCATGGGATACCATGGGTTTCAATTCTAAAATGATCATTTCAATGCTCAAACTTTGGATGATTTGGAGGTACCACCATCTGATTGGAAACCTCCAGTAGTGTGTTGCAGGCTGTTTAACATTGCGGTGACCGGCCGGATTTGGTGGGCTCTAAGTTAGGCTATAGTTCAGCGGCAAAACCTTGGCCGGGCGAATCCTGACCCCATTGAATTAGTTGTCCCTGCATGATCTGATCATTTGGCCATTGGATATATGGGGATTCAAATCATGGGACAGTTTTTGTTTATCATATTTGTAGATGTGTGTTGCTTCACGGGTGTATCATGTATAAAGATGTGGGTACATCCATGTTCCCCCGCGATTCTATTGTTATGAAATGGTATGAAATCAAATGGGTATATCAACAAAAAGGGGATACCCATCCACAGCAGCTCAAATCTGATCATTTGTGCGGCATTTCCATCGGATGGAGAAGTGCCATAAATTTATATAAATTTCCATCGGGATCAGATGGGTGCCCAAAATTGGGTAGCCCATGTTTGATGGATGGTTAATGAGATGGTTAATGAGATGGTTAATGAATGGTTAATGAATGGTTAATGAATGGTTAATGAATGGTTACTAAAAATCCCAGATATCTGGTCCCCATTCTGAGCCAAACCAAGGCGTTGGAGTTGGCAAAGCGAGACACCGTGCAGCTGTTGCTTCAGAACTTTCAGTGCCCTGCGGGTCCATGTTGGGTGTTGGAAACGGCGGGGAAAAATCTTGCCATCCATGTTTTTGTTCGACTCAAATGATCAGAGTAGAGTTGGATTCTTTTTACATCCATATGTAAGCATATATATATATATAATTATATATATATATGTATATATATAAGTACTGAGATGATTGAGTGTAATTCACCTAGGAGGTTGCTGTGGCAGGTGCTTACATGTCTCGCAAACAGTCTTCAAAATGGTCGCAGAAGAGTAGAGTGTCATTGGACCACAAATGGATTCATGTTTAAGGGAGTGTGCTGTGATGAAATTATTGCATGCAACCATCCGAATTTGTGGCTGAAAACCTGTTGGACTCACATCCTGCACCATTTACAAAGAGAAAACATGGAGAGATAGGAATGTGTCTCTGGGTCGATTCTTCTGCATTTTTGGCCAACTCAAGGTAGCAATACTTGGAATGTTGAACAATGGCAATGACGCAACTTAGAGTTTCCCCATCCCTGGATGATATGATAAGTCAATTGTTCATGTTAGCCTGCGCAAATTTAATATAAACCTATGTCGGAAATCAATGGAAATCCATTAGTCCACACTAATATTGATATATTGGTCGTATACCATTGACCGGTTAAACCCTTTGTCTTTTTTGGTCTCCTGCGGAGAAGACACGAAATCCCCAGCTTTTTAAGAGTTCATCCCCAGGGATTCCGAAGCTAGCCCAGGCTTGCTCCGAAAGGTGTTTCTGTATGAGGATAGAGAGAATTTCCCCAAAACTGGGGCTCGAAAAAATACAAGGCCCAGCCCAGGTTGGGTGGATTTTTTTTGGGGGACTCGACAGACTCGACAGCCACTTTTTGGGCGGAAACTATATGAAATGACAATGATTTCTGTGGATTTTCGGCCCAGGGTTGGTGATTTCTTAGCTGATGATGTTTGTGGATGCATGACTATGGATTGATGAAGATTTCCCCATGAACGAACCACAATTTTTCAGGATGTACAGACGTGTACAGACTAACTACGTCTGTCTTTGACATCTAATTTGAGATGCCGGCTGAAAATGACCGTCGGTTTAAGATCGTCCAAAAGGTCTCAACGACCTGACGCTGCCCAGGATTGCTTGGAATGAATTATCATAAATGGCCTTCTCCTGCTTGGCTCACAGTTGGTGTCAAGCAGTTGGGGCCCCAAAATTTACATGTTGTTTAAGGAAATCATGATGAACCATCGGAGTTGTTTTTTCTATGTTTTCTCATTTTTTGGACACACCCAAAGATTGATTGTCATATGATGTTTTGGCAGCTACTCGTAGTTTGGGACGCAGCCACCGGCGTGGGATTGACTGTCCCACCCCAGTTTGAGATTGTTTTCTTTGTACTGATTGGCTCAATATGAGTGGATCCGCCACGTTTTGAGCCATTCATTTTCGTTGAGTCAGCTGATTCCAGTCAGTATGTTTGCTGTACAAGTTGAGCTATCGGACTCTTCACAAATCACGAATGAATCACTAAGCACTGTGGGCTTGGCATGTTAACTATGCTTGCCGCTTTTCGGCCAATCAGCGATTGGCCGCAGATAGAATCTGGGATAAACATGGATAAACCAAGTAGAAAGTTTGTAATTACTCAAAAAGAATCTTAAAGCTATATACTTTTATATACTCATACAGACTCATACATAGTCTTCTGTATCCAGGCAGCAGAATTCTGGACTCATGGTCAACCATGGTCAACCAGTAACCGATTGCTGCCTGTAGAAATCTCAAATTGGGGATTGCTCAACCCTGCCAAGAGTTGGTTGCTGTCAATTCTTGGGTTGCTACTGTCGTGCCACAACTGGCCGGCTTCCTTGCGAAAACTAATACCCAAAACAGCGCTTTTCCACGTCCAAAATTCAACAAGGAACCTCACATGGAGTTCAAGGATAAATAGATAGATAGATAGATAGATAGCAGGCATGTTTCGAACCCTAGGTTCCGAGTGGAATTTGTACGTTTTGGGTTTTCTGTCGTTTTTCAGAGGGCGACGTTTTACATGCGCGAGGTCCAGGTCCGGTCCGGTCGAGGATTTCAAACAGAAATAGTTATGGCCTTTGTTGCCAAAGAGATTTTTCAGAAGTTGGCAAATTCAATCATCAATCAGAAATAGTTTGTTGATTCCATCTTTCCAATCAGCAATAGTTGATCATCTTTCCAATCAGCAATAGTTGATCATCTTTCCAATCAGCAATAGTTGATCATCTTTCCAATCAGCAATAGTTGATCATCTTTCCAATCAGCAATAGTTGATCATCTTTCCAATCAGCAATAGTTGATCATCGTTCCAATCAGCAATAGTTGATCATCTTTCCAATCAGCAATAGTGGATCATCTTTCCAATCAGCAATAGTTGATCATCTTTCCAATCAGCAATAGTTGATCATCTTTCCAATCAGCAATAGTTGATCATCTTTCCAATCAGCAATAGTTGATCATCTTTCCAATCAGCAACAGTTGATCATCTTTCCAATCAGCAATAGTGGACCATCTTTCCATTCAGCAATAGTTGATCATCTTTCCAATCAGCAATAGTTGATCATCTTTCCAATCAGCAATAGTTGATCATCTTTCCAATCAGCAATAGTTGATCATCTTTCCAATCAGCAATAGTTCATCATCTTTCTAATCAGCAACAGTTGATCATCTTTCCAATCAGCAAAAGCTGATCATCTTTCCAATCAGAAATAGTTGATCATCGTTCCAATCAGCAAAAGCTGATCATCTTTCCAATCAGAAATAGTTGATCATCTTTCCCATCAGCAGTAGTTGATCATCTTTCCAACCAGCAATAGTTGATCATCTTTCCAACCAGCAATAGTTGATCATCTTTCCAACCAGCACTAGTTGATCATCTTTCCAACCAGCACTAGTTGATCATCTTTCCGATCAGCAATAGTTGATCATCTTTCCAATCAGCAATAGTTGATCATCTTTCCAATCAGCAATAGTTGATCATCTTTCCAATCAGCAATAGTTGATCATCTTTCCAATCAGCAATAGTTGATCATCTTTCCAATCAGCAACAGTTGATCATCTTTCCAACCAGCACTAGTTGATCATCTTTCCAACCAGCACTAGTTGATCATCTATCCAATCCGCAATAGTTGATCTTCTTTCCAATCAGCAATAGATGATCATCTTTCCAATCAGCAATAGTTGATCATCTTTCCAATCAGCAATAGTTGATCATCTTTCCGATCAGCAATAGTTGATCATCTTTCCAATCGTCAATAGTTGATCATCTTTCCAATCAGCAATAGTTGATCATCTTTCCAATCAGCAATAGTTGATCATCTTTCCAATCAGCAATAGTTGATCATCTTTCCAATCAGCAATAGTTGATCATCGTTCCAATCAGCAATAGTTGATCATCTTTCCAATCAGCAACAGTTGATCATCTTTCCAATCGGCAACAGTTGATCATCTTTCCAATCGGCAATAGTTGATCATCGTTCCAATCGGCAATAGTTGATCATCTTTCCAATCGGCAATAGTTGATCATCTTTCCAATCAGCAACAGTTGATCATCTTTCCAATCAGCAACAGTTGATCATCGTTCCAATCAGCAATAGTTGATCATCTTTCCAATCAGCAATAGTTGATCATCTTTCCAATCAGCAATAGTTGATCATCTTTCCAATCAACAATAGTTGATCATCTTTCCAATCAGCAATAGTTGATCATCTTTCCAATCAGCAATAGTTGATCATCTTTCCAATCAGCAACAGTTGATCATCTTTCCAATCAGCAATAGTTGATCATCTTTCCAATCAGCAATAGCTGATCATCTTTCCAATCAGCAATAGCTGATCATCTTTCCAATCAGCAATAGCTGATCATCTTTCCAATCAGCAATAGTTGATCATCTTTCCAATCAGCAATAGTTGATCATCTTTCCAATCAGCAATAGTTGATCATCTTTCCAATCAGCAATAGTTGATCATCTTTCCAATCAGCAATAGTTGATCATCGTTCCAATCAGCAATAGTTGATCATCTTTCCAATCAGCAATAGTGGATCATCTTTCCAATCAGCAATAGTTGATCATCTTTCCAATCAGCAATAGTTGATCATCTTTCCAATCAGCAATAGTTGATCATCTTTCCAATCAGCAACAGTTGATCATCTTTCGAATCAGCAATAGTTGATCATCGTTCCAATCAGCAACAGTTGATCATCTTTCCAATCAGCAACAGTTGATCATCTTTCCAATCAGCAACAGTTGATCATCTTTCCAATCAGAAATAGTTGATCATCTTTCCAATCAGCAATAGTTGATCATCTTTCCAATCAGCAACAGTTGATCATCTTTCCAATCAGCAATGTTGATCTCTTTCCAATCATCAATATTTGTATCATCCCTTTCCAATCACAATATTTGATATCTTTCCAATCAGCACGTTGATCATCTTTCCAATCAGCAATAGTTGATCATCTTTTCCAATCAGCAATAGTTTGATCATCTTTCCATCATCAAGATTGATCATCTTTCCAATCAGCAACAGTTGATCATCTTTCCAATCAGCATATTGGTCATCTTTCCAATCAGCAATAGTTGATCATCTTTCCAATCAGCATAGTTGATCATCTTTCCAATCAGCAACAGTTGATCATCTTTCCAATCAGCAATAGTGATCATCTTTCCAATCAGCAATAGTTGATCATCTTTCCAATCAGCAATAGTTGATCATCTTTCCAATCAGCAATAGTTGATCATCTTTCCAATCAGCAATAGTTGATCATCTTTCCAATCAGCAACAGTTGATCATCTTTCCAATCAGCAATAGTTGATCATCTTTCCAATCAGCAATAGTTGATCATCTTTCCAATCAGCAATAGTTGATCATCGTTCCAATCAGCAATAGTTGATCATCTTTCCAATCAGCAACAGTTGATCATCTTTCCAATCGGCAACAGTTGATCATCTTTCCAATCGGCAATAGTTGATCATCGTTCCAATCGGCAATAGTTGATCATCTTTCCAATCGGCAATAGTTGATCATCTTTCCAATCAGCAACAGTTGATCATCTTTCCAATCAGCAACAGTTGATCATCGTTCCAATCAGCAATAGTTGATCATCTTTCCAATCAGCAATAGTTGATCATCTTTCCAATCAGCAATAGTTGATCATCTTTCCAATCAACAATAGTTGATCATCTTTCCAATCAGCAATAGTTGATCATCTTTCCAATCAGCAATAGTTGATCATCTTTCCAATCAGCAACAGTTGATCATCTTTCCAATCAGCAATAGTTGATCATCTTTCCAATCAGCAATAGCTGATCATCTTTCCAATCAGCAATAGCTGATCATCTTTCCAATCAGCAATAGCTGATCATCTTTCCAATCAGCAATAGTTGATCATCTTTCCAATCAGCAATAGTTGATCATCTTTCCAATCAGCAATAGTTGATCATCTTTCCAATCAGCAATAGTTGATCATCTTTCCAATCAGCAATAGTTGATCATAGTTGTATGTTGTTTCTCATTGTTTTTTGTTTCACTGTGATGATTCAACATCCCTCGGGCGCTGAGTGGACTCGCGGGACGGTCGCTCCGAAAAAGGTGAGTCGAAAACGAGAAACACTTCGCTGAGCTGGCAGTAGGCCTAGTAGTTTGGCATGTTCCTGGTGTAGTTTGGCATTTTCCTGGTGTATGATCTGTGGCATGTGATCCTGGTGATGATATGTTTTTCGATGATCCTGGTGATAGTTGACCAAACGAACAGTGGATAGTGGTGATCCTGGTGTATCCTGGTGTGACGATGTGTGACTGTCACTTCACAGATAGCCCAAATGCATCCAAATGCCCAGCGAATGACTTTGAATGGGGAATCCAGGCTATGAAAGTTCCCGATTTTGATGACCTGTCATAGTAATAGTGCTCAAGGGGTAATTATGTGTTCAGGACCTTTGTTCATTTTTGTTCCATGTTCATCATGGTTCTGCCGGTGTTTTTTGGTTTTCCCTTTTGCGGTCCTTTCCGCACCAAGAGTTCTGTTTGTTCAGAAACACCTACCGCGGACCATCGTGGACCTAAGGTATGTGGCTGATTTTGACCTTTCTGGGCCTTACATCCTGTCTGTCCATGAGTGGTTTGGCCTTCGCCAAGCTCTACTGGACCACGGGTGTCACGGGTGTCACGGGTGGTCGCTGAAGATGTTTGCGCTGTGCGGATATTTAGTTTACCGTAAGTGGAATAAGAGTAGTGTGAGACCGGTACAAATAGGATGCTTCAGCAAAGAACTGATTCAGTGTTTTCACACGTACCATCTGGTAAACTAACATAGCTATGGAAAATCACCATTTTCAATGGGAAAGTCCACTATAAATCACCATTTTCAATAGCTATGTTAAATTACCAGAGGGTACATACTCCTTTTGCACGTTTCCATTCCGGGGAATCTCTGAGACCTTTCAGAGCACCATTTTTTCGGGTTCTGTCGCAAGGACTTGGGGACAAAAAACGTCCCATCTCTTCAATCCCCAGAAATCACCAGAAATCTCAGGCCATGTTTTTTCACATCCAAATTTCTACTCCAATACTGAGATTTTGGAGAAAAAATGCATGCTTTCGGCATGCTTTTCTCACATCAAATCAGCCCAAATCGTGTCCAGGAATCCCAGCTACGAGACGTGGCGCTTCAAGAGTAACCCCAAATTCCCAAAGCCGGAGCACGTCCGCACCGAGGCATTTGGGCTGAAGTGCACTGCGCTAGTGATACAAAAAAAAAATGTTTGTGGCATTATATAGCTTACATACATAATCATACAATATCATACATACATAATACATGTAGATGTAGATGTGTAAAGCTAGTAGTTGGGGGTGTTTGTGGATCAATTTACACATACCACGTGCTGAGGATGTTTGAAGTTTGAACAATATCACCTGTGATTTTTCTACGGGTCAGGTGGCTACCAGTGAAAAAGAACCCAGCAAAACAAGATGTTGAATTTTGGCAGAACCATCCTTCCCTACACCTAGATAGGTCAACATTACAAAAAAAAATGGACCGCGGATTTTGAGCTGGTCCCCACATCTTGAGGGATCGGAAACAAAAAACGGGACCATTGAAGTCCGGAGGTGCTTCTCACCATCAAGTGTATCTCCTTGTCGACCATGTTGCCTGCTCTCTCACTGTACCTGGCAGCTCAGGCTACGGGGGGCATGACAAGGATCTTTGCCGGAAGAGTCATATGATGTTATATGTGGAAACATCCAAAGAATAATCTTGAGTTCAATATATTTCGATGCAAAAAGATCAAGATTAAGCAAAAATGGACGAAAGATCCAAGCAGTTTGAGGAGATGGCAGGTTGTTCGGACTTTTGGTGGCAGATCAGGGTCAAGGATGGTAAAGGTGAGTGAGGCGATGATAAAGGCTGCGTTCTTGAAGAATTGTGGGGTATTGGCAAGTTGTGACTTCCCGCATGCGCCGCATGCTCTATTGTGACTGGTTTCTCGACATTGAAAATCCCCACGAAGGACATCCATTCAGGTTGGGTGGAAACAGTTAGAACGGCTGTGAGATGTGACGAGTCAAAAGGATTAATCGCAAAAAAGTGTATGTTTTATGATTTGATGATGTTTTAGTACTTGAAGTGACCTAAAATTGCCATTGTACTTGCAAGCACCACAGTTTTCAGCCAGGGCAAAAGCCAAGCTTTCTGTGGCTGGGGCGGCAGGTCCGGGATCTTGTCGGGGGAAAAATGGGGAGATTTGCCCAACAAAATAAAAAGATGTGACAGAAGCACTGGAAAAAGATAGTTTTTTTAACTACGCATGTGTTTTTTTTTACATGTTTTTGCATGACTAGTTTCATGGGTAATTCTTGGTTTCAAATGGTTTCAATCTGGAACCCCCTTTCACCCTGAGCCAGTTTTGGGATGACAGGATGTACATAATGTGGGATGAACATCATACATCAACAAGTAGCCGCTATCTTGGTGTTCACAAAATATCTATACATATGCAGGTATAATATATATATATGTATATATATATGTCCATTGTTATCAATAATTATCCCTTATTATCCAGTATTATATATCCATTATATATCCATTGTTATCAATTATTATCCCTTATTATCCAGTATTATATATCCAGTATTGTATATCCATTATTATCCATTGTTATCAATTATTATCCCTTATTATCCAGTATTATATATCCATTATTATCCACTATTATCCGATTATTATCCATTATTATCCATTATTGTCCATTATTATCCACTACATCCATGATTATCAATTCTTATCCATTATCAGGCCCTCTTCAATGTTTCGAATGGTAAAATGATTCCTACCAATCAAAGCGTCTCTAGAGGGGATGAACTATATGACCACCATCCAGTTGATGAACCACCCGAAATTGGCCACCCATTAGGGATGACCAGGACCACCAGGTGATGCCATGTGATTCCTCGACCCTCTGGAGGTCCATCTGGTGGCACTTGGGTTGCCTTGGTGCCTTGCTGTTGGGCATCGATTTCTTTGAGCCACTCTGGCGCTGTTGACCAACGGCGGGTCCCCGTTTTTTGGGACAGATGGGGACGGCTCCAATTTTTGTCAAACGGCGCAAAACAAGATATCCTTAAAATGGTTGGTTTAATACTATTCACATACTGAAAATGAAGCGGTTTGTTGATTTTGTGGGCCATCATGGGTTCCCCAGTTTTGACCCACAAGTCACAAGCATTGACACATTACCAGATGGTTTGGTGGCAGGCTACAATAGCATTTGAAGGGTGATTTTTTGGGACTGCCAATGCTGGACTGGATAGTGTTTGAGAAGTTGATGGCTTCAGAAGCAGCATGTTTTTCTCTGGCTGATCTTTCTGGCTGATCATCCAAAGTTTTCTTCCCTGGTCACTTGCAGCCTTGACCTGGCAATGAAAATGTTCAAAGCCCTAGCACAAGCAAGGTGTTGAAATCCATTCGTGGCATGGCAAATTGGAATCAGAATATCTGTCAAATAGCAGAACCCTCCCACAGAAACCGGTTGTTCTCAATCGGCAAATCATCTATCTACAAATGGAGCAGACGGCATTTTGCTGGTTACACACCCAGTTTTGGGCCAGCAAATGGGTCACTGTCCAGCCATGTTTGTAGGGTTCACTGGTGTTTTGCCTTCACAGGACGCTGTTGTGTCTATTCGAGATTTGCCGATATCAATGTGCCCGCAATATACTTGTGCGTGTGTTGTGTGTAATGTGTTGTGTTGTGCGTGTGTGTGTGTGTGTTACTATATAATAATACCGTTATCTATAATGTATTGATATGTCTATATATATATACATACATATTCCATATGCTGATATTATGTTTTGGTATCACAATCAATGACGGTGGGGTTGATTCTTCTTGCACTCTTGTAGATTGAGGGAGACTGGTGTTCACATATGTAATATCCATGTCTAGTTTGTTCAGGCAGTTGAAAGGTGACACCAACGCACCAGGTGGGCTTATCACTACATGGGCCACCAGGCAGGAGAAAGTGGTGCTTTCAAGGGCCAATTGCAATGGCAGTTGGCTCACGTGATGGCGCCTTGAACAGACAATTGGCTTGTAATCAAACAATAGAATGGAGAATCGGTGTTTTTTTTTAAATAGCTATTGAACCTGGAGGGCTTTACAAACTTATGATCGTACGCCCTGAACCCCTTTCTAGGTGCCAGCAATGTGGAAGCAGCACAAGAGCCATCACAAGCCAGAAGCCTAGGAATCGGTGGAGCAGGGGTCAGGAGGTCTGACCCCCAGCAACATTTTTATATAATCTGTAACAAGAGGGAAGTTCACCGTCAAGAATCTGGATGAGAACATCCAACATTGTTGAGTAGACAACAAGAGTAAATTCTAGGATATTTGATCTTTGAAGCTGATTTGAAGTAGGGATAAAATCGCTCAGTTTCTTGTGGATTACCTTTTGTTTCCATGGGATTTCCATGGGATGAAAATGTGTTGAGTTCACCTGGGATGGTGCTACCATTTTTTACCAGACGAAGAGGTGACCCTGGATATCAACAGCAACAGCTTTGCCACACCACAAACAGTAGAACTACCCTCTGGTAAACGTTTACATACCCTCTGGTAAACTAACATAACTATGGAAAATCACCATTTATAGTGGATTTTCCCATGAAAAATGGTGATTTTCCATAGTTATGTTAGTTTACCAGAGGGTAACTATGGAAAATCACCATTTTGAATGGGAAAATCAACTATTTCAACTATTTCTATGGCAATTTTCAATAGTTTTTTGTATGTATTTACCAGAGGGTAAGATTTTTTCTATGCGGCATTGAGTGCGGATCTGCTCACTGCTCCCGATGAGTCCAAGCCCTGGAGCCATAGTTTTTTCCAGTGCCTACCTAGGGCTGATTTCTTTTCGGTGACTATACCATAGTATACCATACTAGGATATACTAGGCTTAAAGGAACAGGGACAGGTTGGCAGGTTGGCTTGCGCAGTGGTCGCGGCTGCAATTGTTTTTTTACAAGATTACAAGCTTCCGACTTGAAAGTCCGCGGCCACCCCTGAACCCTTTAGCATCCTTTAGTCACATCAAAGTAGATGTTCCACCTTTTGCAGGGGATCTCAAGACAACTGCCATGCCGGAAGGGGCAACTGGTGCCAGATTTCTCCCAGGTTCTACAATCCTACGCCATTTTCGGTGTGGGATCTTAGAGCCGATGAGTGCATGGAGTCTGGATGATGTGTCTCCGTGCATGATGTCTAAAGATCACTCATCACTAGGGCAAAATGAAGCTGGTTGCGAGAGCTTGTTTTGAGTGGGCACTGGTATCCATCAGCAAACCCTTTTCTGGTTTTGGTTTGGATATTATGCTATCTACACATAAAGCATGTGTGTGTGTATCATTTTTTCGATCCCAACTTGGAATGATTGCATTATTACCATGGATCACTTTGGCAAGCCCTGGATGGAGTCAGATTGATGACTGTTTTGTACAGGTTCCTTTGGGTTTCTCTGAAAGTGGGGCACCCCTACAAGGCACTGGTTTATGAACATGTTTTCTTGTTGGAATTGCCATTTTTGGGTATCCACCACTGTTGGCCAAACCCAACATGCGGTATAAACTCTATATATATACACACAGAATACAATTACAAGCCATTTCACAAGCTATGTACAATCCATTATAACCACGGCCCATGTAAGAGTACAGACCATGTACTCAAAATATTTGATTGAGATGATCGAGAGCCAGGTCGTTTTGTTGGGTATGTATTTCCATATTCCCGTTTTTTTCTGATGTATCACGTGGGAAATTATATAAACATTTTCTATACTATATGGTTTTATCCTTTTCTTGATTCTGAATCTTTTCCATCAATAGGATTCAATAGGGGCTACACCCTTTGGTCTTTGGAAAGTTGGTTTTTTGCGAAAAGTAAAATGGTGATATAAATTACTGTAGCCCCTTTCAAAATAGAAGGTTGGTCGTTGACCCCACTGTAAGGCCTAGAGAAGATATATACAGTGGTTCTTCCACTATTTGGGGAATCTACTGGTGTGATAAGCCCAAGAATCAACCATCACCAGTTTCACCAGAAATGGGTGGTATCAAGATTCAAGATGTATCAAGTATGGAGAATTGAAAGATTGGAGGTTTAGTATTGGCTTTTCCCTGATTTGCCACATGAATATGTCTCACATATCTGTGGAAAATCAATGAAAATCCACCGTTTTTCCTAGGTAAATCATCGAACTAAATGGGCCATGTTCATCCATTTTCCATAGCTATGTTCAACAACCAGAGGGTATTAACTCCAAGAGAAGAACCATAGTGCGCCCCTTGGTGAACCTCCTCCCCGAAAGGGGATGGGGGGTGTTGTTGCAGAGGGTTTATTTAGAGTTGGTTGAGGCTAGGTTTAGGGTTGGTTTAGGTTTTGCTGAGGCTTTGTTTAGGATTGCTTTTAATATTGTTTAGGCATGTTTAGGCCCATAGAAATAGATGGTTTACCTATTAAAAATGCTGATTTTCCATGACTATGTTAGTCATAACCAGATGGCTATGGATCAATACCTATTAATACCATTTTTAGGGGAATGACCATCCATAAATCCCAGCTATTTTGATGTGAACTACAGGGGTACAAGGTTTTGACACACTGCCAGATGGTAATAGGAATGAAGTCCGGCAGGTCATCGCCGACGAAGCCGTGGATCAGCTAATGCGCACTGCGCCCATGCTCTTGTCGGCGTGGCCCTTGGGAGACCGGACACGAGACAACAATCTTAAGATAGAAGTTGTTTAACCCCTATATATATATTTAAGATCTATACATGTTCTATCATGTTCTAGGATTAGATATTATAGCTGATATATGTAATCGAAGGAAGTTTAGAAGTCAAACTTCCGACAATATGGACAGATGAAAAGAAGAGTAGGGCAGAGGCAGAGAGAAGAGAGAAGAGTAGAAGAGAAAGAGTCAGAAGAAAGAAGATGCAGATGCGCGAAAAGGTAGGAAAGTCGCGAAACACTGTGTTTTTCCAGTGATTTGTGGCTCAGGAGGGTCGAAAAGTAGGCTCGTTAAAGCGGCGGGTGCGGAGGCAGCTCGCCAGATGAGAGATGAAAAGTTGCACGCCGTTGTGGCGCGAAGCACATGTGCAAGTCAAAAGGTACAAAACACCTCAGCTCCGGACCACTTTTGGAAGTTGCAATGCCGAAAAAGTGCACTCCGTTGTGGCGCGAAGCACATTTCCAAGTCAAAATGTACAAAACACCTCAGCTTCGGACCACTTTTTGGAAGTTGAGATGTTGAAAAAGTGCACGCCGTTGTGGCGCGAAGCAGATTTCCAAGTCAAAAGTGTTAAAAACTGACGGTCTCGGACCACTTTTGGAGGTTCAGATGTCGAAAAAGTGTCAAAAAAGTGCACGCCGTTGTGGTGCGAAGCACATTTGGAAGTCAAAAGTGAAAAAAACTGAGGGTTTTGAGCCTTTTTTGACGTGAAGATGTCGAAAAAGTAGACCCTGATTAACTTAACTAACTTGACTAACTTAACTAACTTCACTAACTTAATTACCCTAACTTCGACGACAACAGCAACAGCAACAACAACAACAACACCAACCACAACAACTACAACTACAACTACAATAGATCGATAGATGGAGAGATAGATAGAGAGAGAGAGATATAGATAGATAGATAGATAGGTAGATAGGTAGATAGGTAATTAGATGAAAGAGAGAAAGAGAGAGATAGAAAGATCGATAGATAGATAGATACATAGAAGATAGGCTGGTAGGTAAGTAGATAGTCAGAGAAAGAGAGAGAGAGAAAGAGAGGAGACCTCAAGCACCTTTCGGTCCATCAGTGGCTTCGCTCTGCCATCCCTCATTCACAACAACCAATCTCTCCTATAGGTTTCCTATTTTTGAAACTTCCGCCACCGCCTTGTGCGGTACTACTGGTATAAGGATATATATATATATAAGATCTATACATATTCAAGGAATATAGCTAGAATTTCGTGATTTGATCCATCAATATACAGTCAGTTTTGTCCAAAAACATGGTAACACGGATTTACACAACCGTGTATTTTTGACATCCATGTGCAAAAACGCCTCACGTTGTGTCATTTTTTCAATGACCAATTCCTACATCAGACGACGAAAAGTTTCAAGAGCATTTGTTTCATCTCGCATGTGTAGATGTGCAAGCGTGCAAGAACGTTACATCAACGTAGCACTGCGTAGATGTGCAAGCGTACATGGACGTTACATCAACGTAGCACTGCGTAGATGTGCAAGCGTGCAAGAACGTTACATCAACGTAGCACTGCGTAGATGTGCAAGCGTGCAAGAACGTTACATCAACGTAGCATGACGTAGTTCCGCAAGCGTACATGGACGTTATCAGCCCACACCACACCACCCCACCCCACCGCCCCGCACCCCCCCACCTATACTATCCATGTGCGGTAACAACAAAAATCTCAACGCCTACACGGTTGTAGAAATACGTGTCACCAAAAACATAGATTTGCCCTGAAGAAATGGCAAAGTAAATTGCAGAAATGTTGATGTTCTAAACCATGAGATGGAATGGGGTCCACCCTAATTTCAGACAAGCCTAGAAATGGGAAATTGGGATCTGACGATGATGGGAGTTAGCACAACAACAGATAGAAATCGGATGAATTCATCAGCAAACATGAGATAGAAACAGAATGTCAACCCAAACTGGCTGATTTCGGCAATCTTCGTGAAGGGCCCCTTAAATTTGATCCGTAATCATGTGCATTGCTCAGAGTTTTCACTGGAGTATCCCACCCCTCGGGCTCAATGATGACATTAAGGTCATCATGCCATTGAACATGGACGTACTTTTTGGCAGCTCGCCATTGGAAGACTCGGGGCGACATCGGAAAGTGGTTGCCTGTCCAATTGCCTAAAGGATCCTAAAGGATAAGGTGCTGTGGGTTTAACGTGTCCAATGAATCCATTCGGCATTTGGGTACAAGTCGGTTTGTCGTTTGAAGTGCAGGGTGCAGTTTTTAGGTTTAAACGGACCAAAATTGGATCCATTCTTGTCGTTATGTCATGTTATATCCATGTTCTTTGCTGCCTTGGTCATCCTTATCTTTTGAAGTCTTTCCATTGTCTTCCAGACTCTGTGTATTTAGGTATTTCAAAAAGAGTTGGTAAAAGAAGGATTCCAATCCAACGAAGTAGTTATTACTTTGATTGCATCCTTCGACTCTCAGGTCTCTTTGCAGTAATGTTCTATGCCTATGGCGTCTACCTTCACTCAGGCTCCTCTCTATGCAAGCTTTGCACCGGCCAGGGACAAGATGGCAAAGATGACAAGCAAGGTGAAAAGTTATCATTTGTAAATGAGAGGTAGCAAAGACCCACATGGAAAGCCCCAAAGTTCCACCCCGGAGCAGGTTATGAGTTGGCTTGGCCTGATGCCCACCACCCGCCTCACGGCTATTCAGTGGGGGTGTTGATGTGGATTTTTCAAGAGGGGACCGAACCTGGTTCATCTTCATGGCTAGGGGAAAACTGATCGGCCAAAACATCCAAAAACAATGATGTTTTTTGTTAAGGATTTGTTTAGTATGATTCGGTATGATACTACCAGTGCTACAAAAATTCTCCATGTTGTGGGTCCAGTGTTACTCCAGGTTTAACGACATAGCCATGCCACACGAAACGGCAAAGTTTTGTCAGCGTCTGGATCAAACAAGGGGCCAGGGGCCACTCGGGGTCTACTAATGATACTAATGTTCATCCACTAACGAAATCAAAGGTTAATAACTGCTAATAGTTATATGTTATATATATTAATGCTAATATCATACTTCAATTCCGAAAGATCTTCATCATGCGTTTGGACCGTGCTGCCACTCCGTTCAGTAGTTCAAGTCTCAATGGCTAATTATGAAATACCACGAAGCTGAACTTGAGCCCGTTCACATTTTTCTTTCTTCAGGGAGATTTAGTGAAAGCTGACCAATGAAACAAATGTTTGCAGAACCGACCTATTTGCTGGGATCCATGCTATATCTACCTGGCTTGCTCAAACAGCTCCCATCCATTTTAGCCGGGTCATACGTTTAACGAAGCCGCAGCAAGGATCATCAACACCTCCTTCCAGCACTACCTGCACCATGCAGAGGGTGCCGTGGGAAAGCCCCGACACACAGGTTTCTTCATCAAGGTTCGTGGAGCAGTGGAGCGGGATCGAACGTATTGTCAACAATCAGTGTCAGATCTGTCAGTCAAAAATTCCCATGTCATGTCATGTCCATTTATTCCATGGAATATCTACCCTCTGGTAATTTAACATAGCTATTGAAAATGGGCATTTATAGTGGATTATCCCATTGAAAATGGTGATTTTCCATAGCTATGTTAGTTTACCAGAGGGTACATGCATGTCCCCATTGAATCCCATTGATGTCATCCGCTGGGATGTTTCCCATGTTTTCAAAGGGGGATGCCCTGACTTCGTGACGATCATGGAAGCAGAAAGTTGATCAAAGCTGGCCATCTTTGGTACTTTATAAGTGAATTTTCAGTGAGAACTACGAAGTTGTTACATGTTTATAGGATTTTTATAGGATTCTTTGATACTTGTTGATCGGATGTGTCCCATCCCCACTTCTTGTGCTCGCCTCGGCAGCTTTGGGACCAACTGGCGGATGGCGATAGCACGGCCCACATGTTCCAGATGGGCAAGTGGCGGCCTGAGAATTTCACCAACGCGTACGGGGTGACCCAAAAATTTACGGCGCTGACTGATAGAGTCTGATAGAGGAGGGGTACTATCTGATATGATTTGCTATATGGAATTATTACATAATATTATATATATATTGTATATAGATATAGAGTTATATACTATCTGATCTATTTGGTTTATTGATGTGTATTGATGGTTTTATTGGTGATCGATGGTGGCAATCCCTATCAACCACCAGTTTTCAAAAGGGTCACGAAGTGGAGCGTGACCGAAACCGCCGAATGGTAGCTTCCTAGCTTCATAAAGACGCCACCGCTAGAGATGACAAAAGCGGGCTGTGGGAAACGCAATAAGAAGGGCAATGTATGGTAATCTGGTACACTCAATCATGAATCGCAATGTGTTGCGGGTTTCTAAGAAACCCCAAATTGCCCCAAATGGTGCGATCGGGTGGTTCGTTGAGGTTTTGGCACATGAAGCTACTCTCCTGTAGTTCTGCCCAAAAATCCATCCCTATTCCCACTGCAAAAGGTCCAACTCATAGCCAGATTTGAGTTGTTACTTGAACTCATGTGCCACTTTGCACATCTTCAGAACTTCTAAGTCAAACATGTCCTGCTCTGATGATCCCCATCCATCAGGGTATACATTACATACTATTAGCGTAATCATTATTCTTATATCGCTATTATTCTTATATAGAACTATTACTATTATTGCTACTATGATCACCACTATTCTTATGATTACGGCCTTACTATTATTATTATCATTAATTATCACTATGACTATTCTCATCATAATATACTGTCTCATCATACGATTATTGATGATTATGAAGTTGAGTCTTCTTATAACCTTCTTACCCATCCCTTGCTGAGGTGCACCTGCTCCAAATGCAGCCGCGAGCGAGGAGAGCGCAGTCTGGTGGACCCAGCTCTTTACAGAATGCCACTTTTGGGGCTGTGCCATCCATAGATTCGGATAAGTTGTAGGAACTTGAAGCAACCACAAAGACATAGATATCCCATAGATAGATAGATGGCTGGCCAGATGGTGTTTAACATAAGAATCAAAGAAAGAACATGCTTCCTAAAATCCTTCAATCAGATTTGGGATTTATCACAACGACAGGCTATCCAGATTCGTACGAACAGTAATAGCTAGGCAGTTTCAAGCCATTTTCTTGGGACAGCACGACCAATGTCCAGGGCCCAGGGTCTTCAGCCCGCTGCGAGGCGTGGAAGCATGGAAGAAGGTGCAGACGAGAATGCGCGTGTTTTTCAGGGCATCAGACGGGTAATGATGATCCCAACAGCGACTGTCCATGACCATTGACATTTTTGGGGATGTTCTGATGTTCACCAGGGTCCCATGTTTTCCATGAGCTGGGTTTGAAAATCCCCGCGGATGAAATGAGTTCTACCCCAGCGTGGCCCACCATCTAGATGTGTGTTTTCAGCCCATTGTGTTGTTCAAGCACGCTGAGAAGGTGACTGTTGAATACTTTTGAAGCAATCCTGATGTTGGCTTGTTTTGATTCTTCATGGCATAACAGCTTGCATGGTGGGGTGCCCTTCCCATGTTCTCATGGTGACTATGAAAAACTCACCAGAGGATTCACCATGGGTTTTTGGTGACCCTGGTAATTCGGTCCCAAGTCTTCCCCAAAGGAGGTACTAACCGGGTACTATATACGGAAACAGGCGGATTCGTTAGCCCACAACATGTTTTTGTTTTATTTGGAAGCTGAAAGACACTGGCTATTCAGAAAGTGATCTTGGCTCTAGGCCTTTCGGAGTTTAAGTTTAAGGTTGTATCCTTGGGGGTGTTGGCTGGGCAACGCCAGAACTCGGCCGGATGGCGGCAAATCGAGGTCTGGCTGCCCAAAACCTATACCGGTGAAGACAAAAAAAGAAGAAAATTTGGGATTTTTCAATGAAGATGTGGTTGATATACCCATGATATACCCATGATATAACCATGATATACCCAAAACTGTAGCCATTGCCATGATCGTCCCGAGAAATGGTTGGATGTTTCACATGACCCCTTTCCGCGCAGGTGGAACGGGTGGACTATTCCTGTTTGTTGTCGCCCAAATTCTGGCTACAGGCCTTTGCATGAGGACCCGGGTCTTCTTTTCCACGTGTTCGGAGAAGAATTGCTTGGAAAATGCTAAAAAAAAATCCCCCAGATGCCGCAGTGAGCAGTGTGAAAAAATATGCCATTTTATGATGGCCCTATATATTGGACAGTATAAGCCAATATAATATCATAGGACATCATATAATCATCAATCAACAAGGGTTTTGAACACTGTTCATATTGTTTTTGCAATGTGTTTCTTGTGAATGATTGAAGTTTGCCACTTCTGTAGATAGTTCTCAAGTCTTCCCCGACACCGTCGCTCTGATGGACACGAAGATGTCTCCTCCTGGTGCCCTTGCACCATGGGCTTGCCAAGACCATGCCAGTTGGCACATCAGGAAAGCGAAGATGGACAGGAAAGCGAAGATGGACATGGGTATGTTTCAGAAACTCCCAGATTGCTAGGTGGAACAAGATGGAACATGGTGGAGCCTTGAAAACAGGTTGGTGTTTTCTTCGAATAGGATGTGAGACATACCCATGTCATCCCATATCAAGTTGGCCCAAGAGTTTCTGCTAATGTGATGGAAGCATGTTGGATTTCCAGTTGTTGCTGCACTTCTTGTTCGTGTTGTTAGCTGTGTATTGTGTTTCACGTGTGGCTGATTGTTTCGGCTGTGTTCTCTTCATGACTCTGGGCGCCAAATCCAAAACAGTATCGATAATTGAAATCACGCAGGGTTCCTGTAGGCTTCACTATTTGGGTTTGTCTGAAAATAGGGTATATTCCCAATTATAGCCATTTAGTAGGGATAATGATCATTAACCATTGGGTTTAGGGGTACACTATTTTCAGACAAACCCATTTGTACAGTAGGCATCCGAGTACTGTTACATTACTTAGAGGACACGAGAAAGAAGCTCCAAGAAAGTGATGCCAGAGATCCAAAGTTGGAGCTGATTTTGGTAGGCTTAGGGCGTTTGTGCTCGATTTGGGAGTGTTGACCCCCGTCCGGGGTACCTAAATAGAATGGGGGGGCTGAAGCCCCTTTTAAAATAAAAAAAATAAAAATAAAATGAAAATAAAATGGGTCAGACCCCTGCATTTTGTTTTGTGGGTGCATTTTATTTTTTGAGGTGCCTAACCCATCAAGTTAACCGACAGAGATAGCATCATAGCAAAGATGCACAACTGTGAACGGCCTGATCATTTTGTGAAACGTTCCAGCGGATTCACGAACGCTAACAAAATGATAACGAAAACGATAACTTTTGGCATCAAGAATGGTTCGTGTGAGACACTGTTTTTTTTTCCCCTTTCCTCTCCCTTCCCTTTCCTTTTTCCTGTCTCTTCCTTTTCCTTCTCAAATAAGGAAACAATGTAAAGGACTAAACAAGACTAAACAAGACTAAACATGGTTAAAACCAATCAAAGAAGGAAACAATGTAAAGGACTAAACAAGACTAAACAAGACTAAACAAGACTAAACATGGTTAAAACCAATCAAAGAAGGAAACAAGACAAAACAAGATCAACCCAAAAGAAAATGCCGGAGCCCGAGGTCCAACAGTTGCATAACGTAGGTCCACCAGTGGCCAGGTGGAGGGTGCTGACGTCATTTTCTTTTTGTACCTGTCCATTGTATTTTGCTTGGGTTTTCCTATCTTACCTTATGCCCTCTCATTTTATTGGCATTTTCTCCTTAGGCCCCTGCATTTTATTTTATTTTTTTAGGTGCCTCACCCCCCCCCTGGCAACAGACGAGGGTAGTGTTGTTCCTTTGAAAGGCAGAAATCATGAATCATAAACTGTGTTTTTGCATGTTTTCACAATCCTTTCGTGCGTTGGTGGATTTGTTCGTAGTACGGTACGTTGTAACTATTTGAGAAAGTTCAACAATATATAAAATTATATAAATATAGGTGATGCTGCAGAAAACATCGTAAATATCCGCATGATCCCGCATGTGTTTACAATGCAAAAAGCAAAAGACACAGCAATGGCGGTAGGTGGTGCGCTCGGCTGCCATAGGTATTTACTTCTTGAAAAGCAACTGAAATATGATACTCCTTTTTCCTAATTTCTCGGGATCCTTCAATTCCTTAATATAATAAATACTGATGAATTATGTTATATTTTTAAAAATATATATATATATTAAGGAAAGATCCACACGAAGCGCGCGCGCGCGATGAGCCCGGCCGAAAAAGTCCAAAAAAAATCCACTATTTTGGAACTTCCCCCGAAGAAATTGTTAGTATCTCCGCACTGCGCAATCATAGTTTAGGATAGGTTACTAGTGACTCCGAACCCAAGTCGAAAAAAATCTGGAATGCCAAAAAAAATACTCTTTTTTCTGTCGGCACCGCAAAAAAATATGACAAAAATCGAATGAAAAAGTTGCATTTTTTTAGAATTTGTTCCTCCTAGCCCCAACGCTTATACCGCTTCGACATTTTGTGACGGTCGTTCGATTCCTCCCAGATCCGTCCCGACCCCTTTGGGCAATAATTTTGGGATATTTTGGGAAATACCTTTGGAAAATAGGAGGATTTACAACTATATATTATATATAAATATACATTTATAAGATATATATATATATTTAAATTTAAATTGAAATAAATAAAATGTATTATTTATTTTGATTATTAATTAAATTTAAAAATTAAAAAAATAAAATAATATAAAACAAATTATAATATATAAAATTAATTTATTATGAAAAATATATTAAAAATAAAATTAATTTGATTATTTAATTTATTAAAAATATGGAATATATATATATAATATTATTTTTAAAAATATGTATTTTAATTATTTATTTTATTTTAAAATAATAATATAAATAATATATTATATGGATATTGATTTTATGGAAATTGATGGAAATTATTTTAAAAAAATAATGTTTTTTTTTCTAAATTTTTTATTATTATTTTCTTATATGGTAATAATAAAATTATTTTTTATTTATGTATTTTTTTTTTATAAGTATAGATTTTTCGAGATTGTTTGTATATTATATAGAT